AATGCAAAAATGGTTAACACTGCCATTATCTGGCTACGTTTTTAGACCAAATCAAATTAAATCCGCTGGCTTATTTCCTGTTTACAATGACACAAAATGTACATTTTACTATGTGTCATTGTCAATAGAAATTATTCCAGTTTATGSTTTTATCCCTAGCAACATTAATTAAAATCTTTAATTGGCACAGTTGCATAATTTACTTGAAAACAAGCTTTTTTTTGTACTCTGTAATGATGTGTTTCTGGGAAGAGGATGCAATTTTACTGACACTATCTTGGACATACTGTATTCTCGTTAGATTTTAAAAATTTAACAAATTAAGACAAAAGTTCCGCATCTGGGATTAAGTTTCCCTTGATATTATATGCAGATTGTGGCTGGCACATGAAACCTCGGCATGGATTCCAGGTGTTGTTACTAAATATTTTATACCTTGTGTTGAAATCAAAATAATTTCATCAAAAAAAAAATCAATTTTGGTGGATGCGCCGGGTCACAAAATCACCCAGAAATAGCTTTTACGATTGAAAATTAATTAGCTTAATAAACCTGTAATAAACTATTAAATTTTTGTTTGGTAAATTAAACTTTGAAAAAAATGTCCTAAAAGTCGCGTTTTTCAGTTTAAAAAATTAACTAGTGCAGTTAGTAGTGCAAAATGTCGAATACTAATAATCTACATGTTCCTCTCCAGAAACTACTGAAGCCACAAAAAAGACAAGAAAGAAACAATATTGATAAACACGCACAAATAAAATTTTTACTTCAAGGCTGAAAAGTAAAATTTTTGTGACGTTTGCAAATAAAATATTTAGGAAAAAGGAGTCTTCAAACAAAAGTAGCAAAAAAACAAACACAGAAAGATTGTAAAGTAGAAAAAAGCAAAACAAACTAAAAGAAAATAAAATAAAAAACAATTAAAAAAGCAAAACATGTTGGTGACATAAAAAAGAGGTGTACGTAAAAAAATTAAATACATTTCAAACAAATAGAAAAAAATATTTAACAAAACGAAAAATAAGAAACAATAAAATACATAAGTAAAAAAAGAAAAAACAAAGAATACATAAAACAAATGTTAAACGGTAAATGTTGGATTAAAACCATTATCACTGAAAAAACCTAATTGTTGCCAACAATTGTTGGGAGAGAAATATTCAATTACAATAAACAGTAATTATGTCCGAATATCGGTAATTCAACACCAAGGTTAATTACCGTTAAATGTTATTTCAAATGAATACGTTTTAATTAAAACACGCCTAGCGCAATTAGAAAATGAAGAGACTGTCTGATGCAAACTGCTGAATCATCCAAGTAATATTTTACTCAGCTTTTATAAAAACCAATTTGACAAAACAACAATTTCAAACTCGCAGAAATAAATTATTCATCTAAAGTCATTACAAATTCAGTTTTACTTTATCTGATTATTTCTCGAGAGTGAGCATTATAATTTTATTATTGACTTTATTTAAATTTTAATTGAAACCTTAAACCCTCATGGGCAATTTGTTGCAATTTGTTTAGTAAAAGTTTGATATAATTTTGGCGTCCTAATCACCCCTTTAAGCACATGGGACGGCTCATCTAGTGATGTACCCATAAAGATAATACATAATAAATGTCGAAATCCCAGAGAGTAATTTTGATAATTTATGTTTCCATATGCTGTGATTACAGGATTACGGATATGTTTAATTTTTGCTCTGTTTCCCAACATGGCCACTAATGCTTCCAGACATAACTTTATAAAACCATTACTAATGGTAATCCCCTTAACTCGATTCCAAACATTGTATTTATTATGCAAACTTCTCAAGAAAAATTAATCTAGACGATGTGTAATGTTTAAATTTGCAATTTAATTAACCTTGCAGCTTCATTAAGAATGAAATTCGGGAGAAATTTTTGATTTATTTGCTTAAGCCGAGGTTTACCTCTACATTTCCTTCGGCTAAATTGCCAGATGCTACACGAAAGGGATGTTACAAGGTTTAAATGGACGTTGCTGTGAATCAAATTTACTACACACATAACATGTTGACTTTATATTATTATCGTGTAAGATTGTGTCGACAAGAGAGAGAGCAGGGAGTTTCCACAGCATTTCCACGAGCTAAATTCTTAATCAAATTCCTCAGAAAGCTTAATTTTTTTAAGATTTCTCACATTCAGTTTAAATATTTTAAATTTTGTTCAACAATTTTAAGATCAAAATCACAATCCTTATAGCAATATGTCGATTCCCAACCTTTTGACAGAAAAACAGATATTTTATGGTTATGAATAAAATAGTATACAACCCCTTATGTAAGACAGTAAAAAATGTATTCCATTATCATTGTACAAAATAATAACATATACTATTTTGTTCGCAAACGTATTCAGATCGAGGAAATATTTATTAATTTAACTAGTGCAGTTAGTAGTGAAAAATATCTACAATGTACCACTCCAGACAGAAACAACATTGGTAAATGTCATGGTAAAAGTAAAATCGCTTAGGCGCAAAAACAGATTTTTTTCTATATAGCATTTAGTCATAAAATATTTTATACCTTGTGTTACTCTACAAAATCGACTAAATATTGGAAATAAAATAATTTCAATTAAAAGTTCACTGTAACAAAATGACCAGAAATAGCTTTTACGATTGGAAATTAATTAGTTTAATGGACCTGTAATAATTAAATTTTTGTTTAGTAAATTAAGCTAAATTATCTTTTAAAGTTAAAAAAAAAATGTCCTAAAATACGACTTATAAAACTTTCAGTTTAAAAAATTTAACTAGTGCAGTTAGTAGTGCAAAATGTTGAATGCTGATAAGCCACGAAAAAGACGAGAAAGACACAATATTCATAAATATCAATAATGACATGGTAAAAGTAAAAATTTTGACTTCAAGGCTGAAAAGTAAAACTTTTGTGACGTTAGCAAATAAAATAAATAAGAAGAAGAAAAAGTCTTCAAACAAAAAAAAAGCAAAAAAACAAACAGAAAGATTACAAAGCAGAAAAAAGTAAAAACAAACAAAAAGAAGGTAAGAAACAATTGAACAATCAAAACAATTTGGTGACATATACATATACAACATATACAACAAATAGTAAAAATTAATTAAGATAAGGTTTTTAACACAGAGCCAAAAGAAATAAAAACGAAAAATAAGAAACAATAAAATATAAAAGTAAAAATTAATTGTAAATCAAGAAAAACAAAAAATACATTCAACAAATGTAACATTGGTAAATGTCATTTTTGTGATTTCACACGAAACAATAAAAAAGCAAGAGTAATTTTTTTTAAATCTTGGCTGTATTTGTGGTTGAGGAAACTTCTCTCGTTATAAACATTTTAAAGTTGTTAAAGCATAAAATCGGCTAAAATATCTCAAAGCAAAGATCTTCAATAGCGTAAAGTTTTGACGGCTTAGTAATCTCGTCTTTCTTCATTATTTTGTTCTTTACAATAAAGCATAAAAATTGATTTACTTTGAGAAGCGGTTTGTTTGTTGAAAACTTGTCCTGACTCTTTTTTTAATTTTTCTTCCAAACTATTTGACAAGTTCTGAAAACAAATTAAAATTTATTTCGCGTAAAAGTAATTAAACCACGTAATTGTTTCCATAATTATAAAAATAATTGATTGAAAAATGGTCGTGCTTTTAATTTCATAATTTCCTTGTGAAATTTCATTAAGCCGTTGCATTAAAAGCTTGTTTTCGCTTGCCTTTAATTAATTTCATTACGAGCTGATTTCGTTTTTGTAGGAATGTTCGGTTTTCCTGTTTGAGAAACGCTGCGCCGAAAAGCTCCACAAGCCGAAACGCAAGGAAACAGTGACCGAAATCCTTCGAAGTTCCGTCAGACAATTGGAAAGATTTCGACATCCGAAAATTCTGCACGTTCTTCACCCAATTGAAGAATGTGCAGACACATTGGCATTTGCCTCCGAACCGGTGTTTGCAAGTTTGGCTAATATATTGGCGCACCAGGAAGGAAGTGCCAATCATGGGGGAATTACCGCCACAGGGGCTTCCCAGCAACCCGCCGTGAGGCCCACACATGCCAGAGAGTATAACTTTTTGGACATCGAGTATAAATACGGAATATTGCAGGTAATCATTGGTGTAACGATTTTGCGTCATCCACTACACAACTGACGGGAAATCAATTTTTAAAAGATTCTCGTTGGAAATGCTCTATTTCAATGAAATTATTTTATAAACGGTGGTCAAATCCTGTTTTTGTGGAAATTATGGAGGGCACGCGGCATAGCCGCGAGCCCCACTATGAAATTCACGGCTTAGCTTAGCACCCCCACCTCCAATTAAACGAGAAAAATTCAATCTCACCTAATTTCGTTTGAAATCGAATCGCAACTCAGCTTTATTTATTTTTCCCTCAACAGTGTAATAAAGAATTGATTAAGTTAGAATCGCATCTCGCCGCAATAAAGCAACGTTGAATTTTTAAATCTTTTCCAATCAATAAAGCAGTGCAACAAGTGCTTAATGATGTACTCACCCCGTAAACCCATTCCGTTGCCCAAATATTTGATCAGGTCGCCTTCCTTGATTGCACAGGAAACAAAAAGAAACAATATTAGCATTGGTGTTCACGGAATTTTACTTGTTTGTGTTTGATTTTAATAAAAGTAGCATAAAATTTTCACTGTGTTTGAAATAGCAGCAGGTTTGCTTTGTTCTCATCAATTGTGAATAATTTTGAACCTGTTGAGCCGAAATCCGATAAAATTTTTACGATATGGGTTATTAAAGTTGTTTCACCCATAAAGTTTGAATAGACCCAGTGGTAGAGATGTAACTATAGAAACCGCACGTTTCTATTGACTAAACTTTACCAAGTCAAATCAACAATAAAATAATATATTATCATGTACTTGAAATTGCTTGTATTGAAACACACCGAAATTTAATTTCATTTTAAGGACTTAATTGCTGCTTCAATGGTCACAAGAATCACCCAAGTTCTAGACCACACATTTATGTCGTTCGTGCTTCCTTAAAACTTAACGAAAAACGTGAGCTTTTGTGAAAATGAAGCCATAAAAGGACTAAAACGGGAACGTTACTTTTACATAAAAGTAAAGTGTGAAAGTCTCTTAAATAATAAATTTGTAAAAACACCTGAACTTTTCATTAATATAAAAATCAATTATTTAGTGCAACTAAATCCCGGAAAATAAAAAAAACTTCCGGTATCATTAATAAAGTTTTAAATATTGATTAAAATATGCTCACTGGTGCGATAATTATACACCATAAAAATCAATTTATCGTAAATTTAAGTCATTTAACTCAATTGTGATAACTTGCACTCAAAAAATGTAATGAAGAACTTGTTTAGTACATAATTAAATTTGCAAAAACAGCGATTTTGCATCACAGTTTTCATCAAATTACACTGTAACTAGCGTTTTTATCAACTTGACCTTTGCACCACTAAAAACGTATTTCAAAAAATCGGATTTAAACCTACTAATTTCATTTAAAATGTAAAACGAGATAAAAAGGTTTGATTTTAAAATTAGTAAGTTTTCGGTCATGCGAGAATGAAATTAAAAAATTGCTAATTAAAAGCGCACAGGATTTGATCTGATTTTTGTCAGTTAGAGAAAAAATTAAAAATTAAATTCGAAACAAAAGTGGTGCAGGCGCACCACTGAAATATGTTAATTAGTTGTTAATTAAAACAAGTATCACATGTTTTCGGCTTAAAGCCAGAAAGTGTGCGTATTTTCACAAAAATATGCACAATATGCTCTAATATATGCCAAATATGCATCGATATGCTAAATTTTTAACAATAAAAAATCAAAGTTGGGACAAATTTTTATCCTCGAATACACTAAACTTTGTATTTTCGTCATCTGAATTGCACATGATAAATGAAAGAATAAATAAATTGGTTTGGCGTGAGACAAGCCATTTTAATAACCTAATAATTAACCCTTTTTAAGAAATCTGTACTTTTCAGATCACATTACGTTTTTTGCTTAAAGTATTTATTTTTTGAAAAAAACTAATTGATGAATTATAACGTTCTATAGAAATGTGATGTTTTAAAAATAAAATTTTTATTATTTTGTTTTTGAGTTCTACAAACATATCTATTTTTTAAATGGCAACCCACCAAAAAAACATTTTTCTCATAAAAGTCATGATCTAAAGGATTACAACTATCTACTTTATATTAAATTATTTTTTTTTACAAATGTATATCGCAATTTAGACAACAAAAATCGAATAACTCAAAAACAAAACAAAATTTTGTTCTTAAAAAAATATTTTTTTTTATATTACTTTAATTTATATTAATTATTATTTTTTGGAAACAAATGATTAAAAAAAAACCGCCTAGTTCAATACTTTATATTCACCCAGTATAAAACGAATTTAAAAAGGAAACACTAATTTTTTGAGTTTGGCTTACGAATTACCTAAAATATTTTGTAATCGGATCATTTTTCTTAAACTGTTCAATTTTTAACTTGAACTGAAATTTTTAATCGGAAATTAGTGATTTGAAAAAAATATGCAATATTTCAAGCAAGTTGACAAAATATGCAAAATATGCATTTTTTATTTAGCTTATTTGAATCAAAAAACATTAGATATGCATCGAAAACTTACAATTTTGTCGATATACCTCTTAATGACAAATATGCATTTTGCATATAATCCGAGCCTTATTAATAATAATTAAAATGGTTTCTAAACTGAAGCTAAGGCCCCACATTTCGCAAGTTTAACAATTAAAAGAGTTTAATAAAGTAAAAAACTGCCTCTTTGATGTTGCGATAATGTCACTGACGTCAAGCACTCTTTGAAAGAAAACTCGTCGTTAATAATCTAAATTTGCAGATGTTGCAATTAGAATCACAATTTAAAGCAAGATAATTAACGCTGTAACTCGTCCACAAGTTGTGTATTCAATGTGAAAAATAAACGCCAGTTTCAGAGTGCCTCTGGCTAAATATAAATCATCGTTTTATCGAATTTAAGCTGTGATTTAATAAGATTACAGCAGGCGTATTGTCACCTAATAATAAACCATTGTTCGTATGATCAACCTGATCTGATTAACGAATCCACGCGGTCCAAATTCAAATGTTAATTAACTGTTCATTTCAGATAACAGAAGCTTTATCGTTTCTGCATTACTCGGGGCATGTGTTGCATCGAAATGTGTGTCCGGCGAGTATTCTAGTGACGAAAAAAGGCACATGGAAGTTGGCAGGACTGGAATTCACAGGTGAGAAAATTGTTATTTAATTAGAAGAGGAAAAATCGAAGCAACAATCCCTAATGAGTTAGTTTGAAATTCCAAACTCGACAACTTGGCACTGATTTACCTACAAATATCTTAAGAAGTTGAAACGTGACTTGTAATTATGTTTAAACTTAATTAAATTATTTTAACAACTTTCGATCTGCCCGAATTTTATAAGGCTTGCTATTTCGCGTGCTAAAAGTGAATTTTATGCGTTTCATTGTGCGTTTACAAGTCAATTATTACGGAAATAAATCATATTATCGACGCGAATGAACAATTAAGGTTTGTTATACGATGACGGAACATAATAAATTCAACGCCCACTCAAGATTACGAGGAGCGTGAAAGCGGCCAAAGCAACGACTAAAATTAGAAACGAATTAATTTTGACAAAACTTTAGGCTAATTGTACTTTTCACAATCGTTTTCAGTTGAAACAGTTATTCAATCGTCAAGTGTTGAAAAAATTAAATAATAATAATAAAAAATATAACAAATATTAGTCATTATTTAAGATTAGAAAAAGTATAGTATTAAACTCGCCTTCGGCTCGTATCGTAAACTTCATGGAAATAGCCAACTTTCTGACTCCTTCAATAATATACCATTTTTATAATAAATTTCTAATCAATAACTTTGAGAAATCAAGGTTAGCAACAAAAGGGCATTAAAAATTCAAAAAATTAAAAATATTTAAATAAAAAAATATTTATAATTGAAGCAAAATTGGTGGAGGCGCCGGGAAAATTAGAAAATAAATTCTAAACCTTCATTTTAATAAAATGGACATGCTTTAATTTTCAAAAAAAAAACAAAAATTAATAGTTTTTTATGTGTCAAGTCACCAAAGTCTCATTTGGTCAAAATTTGTGCAAAACTATTTCTGAAGATTAGATTATTATTAATAAATGAGAGTTTACTCCAATGTTGTCAGATTTTTGTTTTTTTGACAATATTTAAATCAAAATAGACCAGTTTAGTAAGTAATAATTTATATTTGGAACAAAATTGGTGGATGCGCCGGGAAAATAAAAAATTAAATTCTAAACCTTCATTTCAACAAAATGAATATTTGCTTTAATTTGCAAAAAAACAAGAAATAATAGTTTTTCATGTATCAAGTCACTAAAGTCTCATTTTTCGTTACAATAGTGTGTTTAGTTACCGAGGCGAAAGCCGAGGCATGTAATACAAAACTAACAAAAATGACTTTAGTGCCGAGATTATTTTTGAAGGTTGGATTATTATTAACAATTGACAGTTTACTCCAACGTTGTCAGATTTCTCGTTGTAGTATAATGAGCTACTTTAGAGCCAATTTAAAGCTCTTTAATGGCAATTTTATGTAACTTTCGTAACAACTTTTGAAAATATTGAAATTAAAATACACTAGTTTAAAAGTAAAATTTATATTTGGACAAAATTGGTGGAGGCGCCGGGAAAATTAGAAAACCCAAAACGGATACATGCTTAAATTTGCAATTAAACAAGAATTAGTAGGTTTTTTTTGTATCAAATCACTAAAGTCTCTTTTTTCGTTACAAAACTGTCTAGTTACCGAGGCGACAGCCGAGGCAAATAACACAAGAGTATCAAAAATGATTTTAGTGCCGAGATGAATATTAATTTTCTTCCAAAATCGCAAATTTGGACAAAATTTGTGCAAAATTATTTTTGAGGTATTAACAATTGACAGTTTACTTCAACGTTGTCAGATTTCTCTAGTTTAGTGCCGATTTTAAGCTCTTTAATGAGAATTCTCGGCCACTTTAATGACGATTGTTGACAAGATTTAAATCAAAAGTTTATGGACGAAATTATTAATTATTTTTGAAGCAAAATTGGTGGAGGCGCCGGATAAATCAAATAATAAATTCCAACGTTTGTTAAGACCGCTGTATTTCACTTAAAAATAGTTCATTGTAAATGAAAATCAACAAATTATAAAACAGAAAACGTGACTTTTGGATACATTTTCAGTGTTTTAAAAACCGTATTTCCCGGCTCACTTTTGGCGTTTTAAGTCCATTATTTCACATTTTTAAGAAAAGAATGCAAATTATGCTTGTCGTCTCGAGCTTTGACATTTCCATTCTCGACTGGAATTTTCCTAAAAGTAGCAAATCTTCCGTTCCTTCACCGTCTGGCTCCAACTTTTATGTCCCATATCCAAACTGAGTGCATCCCTTGTGAAACCTAAGTCGGTCCCATTTCCCTCCCCCCTCCCATCGATCATGCAATGCAATTGGGCGCGTTCACGTGTAAGTGTCGCAAGTTGCCCTCCAATGAACCGTCATAAAACAAAAGTTCAATATGGCATCGTCGGTAATTTGTCTGCAGAGGTAAATGGGAATCTTCCGGCCAGTTGCTATTGATTTTGTACGGCGCAACACGCGCACAAGAGGCAGGTCAGCCGGTTTCCATTTACCCGATATTAAAAATCCTCCTTAATGAGATTGACATTTTCGAAGGATAATTATGTTTGGTAAAAATAGCAACGCCGGATTCGTGTGGGATGCGACGAGACGGATGCTTCAAACCCACTACTCCCAGGATTAAGTTGCGCTCTTGATGATTTTTTTTTGGTTTCAGAAAGGGTAAATGACGTCGACGGCGTTGAACCGGTTCCTTGCCAGCCTTGGACCTCAAGACTCTCCAAAATGGCACAACCGAACTTGGACTATACGGGTAAGCTCTCTTTCTCCATACAAGTTTTACCCAATAAAAACAATAGTAGTTTATTATATTTTTATAAAAAAAATAAATAAAAAATTTAAAATGTCCAATTTGTTGTGGATTTCTTAATTTTATATTAATTGTCATCTATATTCGTCGTGAAATAAGAGGCAACCAGAACGACGAAAACTTTCTCTCTCAAATAACACTAAAAACACTATTTTTTCTTGAAAAACTCAAAATTTAAAAAATTACTTTCTTCCTCTTAAAAGTCAAATTATTTTTCACAATCAAATCCTCAAATTTCGAATAATTTTATTAAGAAAAAGCGACAACGTGACATTTTAGATAAAAATTATTAAAAAAAATTAAACACGTTTTTGATTGTTTATTTTTTAATTTTAACGGTTAGAAATGAGGGGAGATATCTATTATTCCACCTTTAAATGTTAGACATGTTTTAATTTTATTTAAAAAATAACACTTTTTTGGTATCTTTGTCATAAAAATGACAAAATAATTCGGGTTTTGATTAATTTATCTATTTCTTCTTTGAAATGACACTTTTTTAAATGAAAAAACCCTCTTTCTAGCAAAAGTAATATTTTTCCTTATTTTTTAAATTGTTTGTTTTTAAATCAGTTAACGGAGTTTTTTTGGTTAATATCTTTGTCAAAAAATAATAATAATAATAGATTTCAAAAAAGCCAAAAATAACACAATTTTTAGATAAATTTGAGGAAATTTTGCAAAATAATTTCGTTTCTGACTGAAAATGCCCAAAAAAATTAAAACTAGTCTCATTTTCAATCTAATTGAGTGATTTTAGAGCCTAGATACTCAAAAGGTACTTAAATTCCTAAAAAGAGCAACAATAACACTATTTTTCGCTTAATTTAATGATGATTTGGTTTATTTTTGACAAAATTTTTCAAGTTTTTTTGAAAAAAAATACAAATTACACACTCGTTATCGATTTAATCTGTCCGATTAAGTAAAATCTTACAAATGAACAAGAGTTTCTTGCAAAAATTGTGTCGTTTTTAACTTTTTTTACGTGTACAATACAACGTTTTCTTTTATAGGTACATTCATAAGAAAAATTAAATAAAAAAACAGAAATAACCAATTTAGTTGTTGATTTCGTAATTTGATATTAATTGTCATGTAAATTCGTCGTGTATTAAAAAGCAACCAAAACGATAAAAGTGTTTCTCTCTCAAATAACACTCAAAACACAATTTTTTTTCGGAAAATTCAAAATTAAAAAAAATCTTTCTTCCTCTTAAAAGTCAAAATATTTTTTGACGGACAAATCCTCAAATTTCAAATAACATGAATATAGTATATATAATAGCAAAAACGTAACATTTTAAATAAGTTGAATTTTAAAGATAAAAATTATTTAAAAAAATTAAACAAAATTTTTCTATTTTTAATTTTAATGGTTAGAAAAAAGAAGAAGAAGAAAAGTCTTTGTAGCAATACACATTGGATACGTAAAGAGATTTTTTCCCCCTTTCTTTTTGTTTGCCTTATTTTTTAATTGTTTGTTTTAAATCTGTTATTGATATCGCGGGTTATTTGGTTAATATCTTTGTCAAAAATAATTATAATTTTCAAAAAAGCCAAATATAACACAATTTTTGGTTAAATTTTGTGATTTTTCGGCTTAATTTTGAGTAAAGTTTGCAAAATAATTTTGTTTCTGACTCAAAAACGTACTAAAATGCCAAAAAAAAAAATTAAAACTAGTATCATTTTTAATCTAATTTAGTGATTTTAAGGCCTAGATGCTCAAAAAGCACTTACATTCTCAAAAAGGGCAACAATAAACAATATTTTTCACTTAATTTAATGATGTTTCGGTTTATTTTTGACGAAATTTTTTGAGTCATCTAGAATATTTTTTTTAGATTCTATCAAAACCTTGTAAAATTATATTTCCTACGTTTTTAAACCCAGTGTCCAATTTAGTTGCTGATTTCTTAATTTGATATTAATTGTCTTGAAATAAAAAGCAACCAAAACAATGAAAATTCGACAACAAACAACTTATATAGATAAGAATTTTGCGAAAAAAACAGTTTTTTGATATACTAATTTTTTCACCAATAAGATAAAAAATCAAATAAATAATACACTACCCGTATCTAAAGAGTAAAAAACAACATTATTAATACCTATAAGAGAAAAAAAATACGAATTGAATTGAATTTTCGCCATAAATGAGCATTCTACTCGGCATCCGTTTGGTAAATTGATAAGAAACCTCCTGTCGGATGTGCCTGTCAAGTGTCTTCTATAGCCTCGATAACGTTACACGTATAATATTCATTAAAGATAAATTGTTGTTGACGCCAAACTGCTCTTGTTCAAGTGATCATCTCATACTCGTGTTAACTAAATAATGAGCTTGAGGTGGCCGACCGATTAATTCTGGTTATTCGGATCAAAATCGGTGCAAAAGAAGGGATTTAGGGATTAGTTTGAGAGGGATAAAAAACCAGGTTTGTTGTAATCGAAGAAATTAAAAAGCTTCGAAACCACCGCGACTGAATAAACATCAACTCTCTAGATCAAAGCTTCACGCACCAGTTGATTTAAATACTGAAGAAAATATTAAAATTTCAAAACATCATGTTGACAAGTTATTTTCGCAAATGTAACTAATTGATGTAAAATCAATTGAAGGGTTAGTTGTTGATTCAGCGTCCTTTTACTGGTTTAGTGCTAATGTAAGGAATTTGCTTCAAAGTTCAAGTTTGAGAATGTTTATGCACATATTATACACCACAACAATTTTATTTATAAAGATATCAAATACTTGTCCGAATATTTGAGCTTGATGAAATTTTTTTCTCTCAATTAATTCTCGTGAGTGTTAAATTCTAAAGTAAAACGATTAAATTACATGCACTTCGTTAAACGCCTCTACTTTTGCGTCAAAAACTCATTAGATTCTTTGTTTGTTTTACATCAAAGCGCTCAATATCCTTTGAAGCTGATCTATTGTTGAATTTGTCCATGTTACAATATTTCAGCGACAGTTCTTTCTTTAGTTTAACAAAGCGTAATTAGCTTTCGATACACTTGGAGTAAAAGAATGTTGAAATAGAGTCATGTTATTTTTAACTGAAATGTTTTTTTTTTGTTATTTCAGCACCTGAAACACAGACGCAGTCAATTTGTAGTATACTCAGCGATATGTTTTCACTAGGAATGGTAATATGTGCAATATTTAATCATGGCAGACCACTTATTCAAGCTGGAAATTCTAGTTCAGCGTATCTTAAGCAACTAGAGCTGGTGAGTCACTTGTTTAAATTAAATTTTTCTTTTCGCAATTTACAGCTTTCGCAACGAAGACGCAGAAAATTAGTTTTCTTTCGACAAACAAACACTTTTTATCTGCAAAAGTGACAATTTTTATGACTAAACGTCACCATGGAGTAAAAACTCTATTTTTACGCCTTAGCATTTTTATTTTTACCAATGTTGTTTCTTTTGCTGCTTCAACAGATTCTGGTGAAATACATTGTAGATCATCAGCATTCAACATTTACTTCTAACTGCACTAGTTAAATTAAAAAACACTTTCGCCACCTGAACTATCACTTTTACTCCTAGTAACATAATATACATAAATATAATATACTAAATATTTCAAAATTGATAGAAAATAAACACAATTTCGATCTAATTTGGCAATTTTGTACCTTATTTAGGCAATTTTTTGCAATTATTTTATTTTTCACTGAAAAAATCCGCAAAATCGATAAAAATAACCAAACATTTCAGAACAATCAAGTCTGCAATTTTTTGCTTTGTTTTGATAACATTTTTCACATTTTATAGCTTTTTTCAGTGAAAAATTTAATATTCATAAAAACAGGCAAAAATAATGTATTTCCAGATCTAATTTTGCAATTTTCCACTCTGAAGTTTTTTAGCGTTTTTTTTTTTTTTTGGTAAAAAACGCTCTAAAATGGTTATAACAAGAAAAACGACACGTTTTTACAACTAATTTTGAAATTTTCTTTTTTATTTAGGCAAAGTTGTTTGAATTTTCTGAATTTATTGTTGTAAAACTATCCCAAATTTAGAGAGAACAACGCATTTTTCACTTAATTTTCCGACTTTAAAAACTTTTAAATTCAGTTAATTTTTTTGGTATAAAAGGTTTTAAATTAAAAATTAATACAATTTACCCTAATTTTGTAATTTTCTAGTCGGTTTCGGTAAGATTTTCGCTAAAAATCTCTGTCACATTTATTGAAAATTAACACATTTTTTATATAATTTTGCAATTTTCTACTTTATTTTAGATTTTTTTGTATTTATTAAGAGTTTCTCGCTAAAAAAGTGCTAAATTCACAAAATAAGACAAAAACAACACTTTAGAACAATAATTTTGTATTTTTTAGCTTTAATAAAATTTTCCAAATTTCGTAACTTTTAAAGATTTCAGCTATATTCTCGTTAAAAACCCCCTAAATTCATAAAAACAGGCAAAAACAACACATTTTCAGATCTCCTATTTTCAAGTTTTTCGATAAAAAAGCGTTAAATCCATGAAATGAAAAAAAATAGCATTTCACAAATTTGCAATTTTGTGACTTCAATTTAATTTAAATTTCAGTTGTTTTCTTGGTAAAAAAAAGCTTTAAATTTATTAAAACAGACAAAAATAATTAAAACACATTTTCAGATCTAATCTTGTAATTTTTTACGCTGTTTCAGTAAGATTTCTTTAAATCTGTGCTTTGTTCAGTAAAAAAATTTCTAAATTCATAGAAAACAAACACATTTTGACATAATTTTCCAATTTTCTATCTTATTTAGGAAAAATGCGCTAAATAATTTTTACGCTTAAGCGTTTTTACTTTTACCAATGTTGTTTGCTGCTTGAACAATTTCTGGTGACGTACATTGAAGATCAACATTTTGCACTACTAACTGCACTAGTTAAAAACATAATATTCTAAATTTTTACCATTTGCTCTTGCTTTGCTAGACTCATATTTCCACAATTTGAAAAATTCTTAGAAAATAAGAACACAAATAATTTATTTTTCCTTTTGAAGAGAAAAATAAAACAAAACTGAATTTAAAAAGCTTACACCCAATTCGATATCTAGCTCTGCGCACAAGCTTTAAGCTGCACCGAGCTTTTCAATAGATGTAACTCTAAAAATCGCTGCCAACCTCAATGAAATAATAAAATGAAGTTAATCAACAAGACCGACTTGTGGATTTCCGTGTGTTTAAAGTTCCATCCCTGGCGGCAAAAAGCTTTTACAGCTTTATTACGGCCTCCCGATGGTAATCGGAAAATGGAATTGTAAAACTCCCTCGAGGTAGCCGAAGATTATGTTTGTCTGATCATGAAATATATATTTTTTCTTTCACTACGTGTTAAAAATCGTAATCTCAATTCGTACCAATAAAATAAATTTTGTTCAAGTTGGAAGATCAAGTACACAATATTATGCCTAGAATCCCGTTACCGCTTCAAGAGGCTACAGTCAGGCTATTAAGCAAAGACACTAGACAACGACCCACGGCGCAGCTTCTCACATTAATTAAATATTTCAGGTAAGCTTCCATTTATTGAGCCCAAGCTTCAATCACATTTATTTTGTGTTCCTTTAAGCACGGAAAGTGACAAATAGCGAGGATTAGATACTTTCCAACAAGTTGTACACTATTTCGCACAACCTTTTACGTTATTTTCATAACACACACGTGCGGTTAGGAGAATAATCAATTCATTGACATTTCGAAGCTAATTTTGCAATTTCCTGCCCTGTTTTGATAAAAATTTCTCAAATGTTGTGAGTTTTTCGTTAAAAAACGCTGTGAAATTTTTGAAAATTAACACATTTTTGTGGTATATTGCAATTTTCTACCTTGTTTTAGAAAGTTTCCAAATTTTGTAACATTCTTCGATTTCACCTCCATTTCAGTTATATTCTCGGTAAAAAACGCTTTAAATTCATAAAAACAAGCAAAAATAACACATTTCCTGTTTTCAAGTTTTTACATGAAAAAGCGGTAAATCCACGAAATGAGGAAAAAATTGCATTTTAGAATTTTGCAATTTTTTGACTTGTATGATAAAAGTTTCGAAATTTTGCGACTTTCATCAATTTAACTTAAATTTCAGTCATTTCCTTGCTAAAAAAATAATAAAAACACATTTTCAAATCTAATTTTATTATTTTCTACGCTGTTTGGGTAAGATTTCTTTAATTCTGTGGTTTATTTAGTAAAAAAATCCAAAATTCATGACCCCGCAACCCCATGACAATAAAACACCGTTATTTTCAATGAAACAATTGAATGGTTCTCTTAAAGAAACTGACACTTACTAAATTAAGCGTCTATTAATATTAATCACTTAATTAATTAAGCTGATTTTTTGAGTCATATTTGAAGGATGAAGAAAATAAAAGTCAAAAGCAATGCACAGGCCCTCCGCCAATCGCACAACCTCTTACGTTATTTTCATAACACACACGTGAGGTTAGGAGAATAATCGATTCGTTCGATATCGTCAAAACTCCTTTTGTTATAATAAACGAGGTTAAATTAAGTAGAAAACGCAAATATCCGCATATTGCAGCATAGTGGTTATTTTACTGCAGTTTAAATATTGCAAGCTTACTTTGAACATAATAAACTAAATTGTAACACTCGAGGAAATTATCAAAAATGACACGCTTGGGTGCATTAGTGGGACTTGTGTCCGTGCATCCACTAAATAAATTTGTAAGGTGGTCATAAAATGGATAATAAAGGAGTTAATGTAGAAACTGGGTTATAAAACGTCAAATAATTAATTTATTGCCTCCGTAAAACAACCAAATTTTACCCACCAACACTGGGATTAGATAAAGACGCCGAAATTTATTTTAAAGTAATTTTCATGTGATCAAAAATTAACTCTGAAAATTCCAATCTTAAATTTAGTTTCTCTGTGATAAATCCCGCATTAATTTACTCAAAAATAACGTAAAACTCATGTTACAGGTGCTTTAATTAAAATTAAAGCCTGGAGTAAACAACGTAATTAGCAACTAATAATTTACTTTTATTGCCCTAATTAAACTTGCTACTTTATTTCTGTAAGTTGCAAGGAAATATAATTTTAATTACAACACATTAATTATAATTTTAAAACTTCTCCAAGTTGTCAAGCCACACAAAAGTCTCATTAAAATTGTTTGATTGTTGATTTTTCGCAAGCACTCATTCATATTTCATGGCTTTTGGATGCTGGACAAAAATGAAAGCGGATCGATTCGGCCAATTATACATTTTTAAACAAGTTTTCTTTTGCTCATCGTATTTCATAGGTCAATTATTCCAATTAACTTGGAATTTCTCCAATCAATTTCACTCACAAAGCAAATTATTTGGCAGTGATCCTGCGGTGCACGCGCTTCAATTTCTCGATGTCATCAATATGAAGGACCCCACGCAAAAGGCGCATTTCTATCGCAATACTCTGAAAGAAGCTTTACCTTTCGTACCAAAGGTAAGTCAATAATGTACTTGATAAAGTTAATCCTTAACAATATTGTTCCAACGTAAACGCGCTCTGTCACGGGTAAAAAACGTCTCGCCAGATGAAGGGGCTCAACCGTAAACCCGTCGCTATTACACTAAATCCCTGTGAGTGTTTCTCGTTGAGGATTTAGACGAAACGAATAAAATAAATACTGTTTTGGAAGCTTGTAATTAAACCACGATTTCATTAATTTTGATTTATCAATTGTGACAGAAATTGTGGTATCAACATGTGTGGCCTTCGCTTCAGCAGGAAATGAGATCGCAAGAGGTTCTAGCCGCTGTGCTCCAACCAGTGCTCTATTTAATTCAAGACTCGACTATAGAAGAATACGAGTCCATTATTCTTCCGTCCTTTAGGTGAGTTCAACAGGTAAAATGGATTTTCACCTCAAAACAAAGCTGTTTACCCATTTCTACCATCCCAAAGAAAAAAACATTGAAAACCCTTCACCAATACATTTTAGGGTTTTAAAATATTAACTGAATTTATTTTAGCTCAATTTTTTAAAGACAAAGAAACTTATTCAAAAAATATGTTTATCTACAAACGTCACAAAAGTGACCACTTTTATTACTAAATATCACAATTAAAAGACATGGAGTAAAAATTCTATTTTTGCGCCTAAGCGTTTATACTTTTACCATGACTTTAGTAATATCAGTCTCCTTTCTTGTCTCTTTCACTGCTTCAGTAATTTCTGAAGAGGTACATTGTAGATCGTTAACATTCAAGATTTTGTCCTACTAACTGCACTAGTTAGTTACACTAATTTTGTAATTTTCTACTCTGTAGATTTTCGCTGAAAATCGCTGTCAAATTTATTGAAAATTACGAAATTTTTTATCTAATTTTGCAATTTTCGACCTTATTTTAGATTTTTTTGCATTTATTAAGAGTTTCTCGATAAAAAAGTGCTAAATTCTCAAAATAAGACAAAAACAGCACTTTAGAACAATAATTTTGTATTCTTTTAGCTTTAATAAAATTTTCCAAATTTCGTAACTTTTAAAGATTTCAGCTATATTCTCGTTAAAAACCCCCCTAAATTCATAAAAACAGGCAAAAATAACACATTTTCAGATCTCTTATTTTCAAGTTATTCGATAAAAAAGCGTTAAATCTATGAAATGAAAAAAAAATAGCATTTTAGAGATTTGCAATTTTGTGACTTCTTGGTTTTCTTGGTAAAAAAAAACTTTAAATTTATTAAAACAGACAAAAATAATTAAAACATTTTCAGATCTAATTTTGTAATTTTTTACGCTGTTTCAGTAAAATTTTCCAAACTTCGTAACTTTTTTAGATTTCACCTCATTTCAACTATATTCTCAGTAAAAACCCCCCTACATTCATAAAAACAAGCAAAAATAACACATTTCCAGATCTGATCTTCCTATTTTCAAGTTTTTCGATAAAAAAAGCGTTAAATCCACGAAATGAAAAATAGCATTATAGAGGTTTGCAATTTTTTGCCTTGTTTTGATAAAATTTTCGAAATTGTGTGACTTCAATTTAACTTAAATTTCAGTTGTTTTCTTGGTAAAAAAAAACTTTACATTTATTAAAACAGACAAAAACAATTAAAACACATTTTCAGATCTAATTTTCGCTGTTTCCGTAACATTAATTAAATCTGTGCTTTGTTCGGTAAAAAAATTTCTAAATTCATAGAAAATATAGACATTTTAATATAATTTTCCAATTTTCTATCTTATTTTTGAAAAATGCGCTTAAGCGTTTTTACTTTTACCATTGTTGTTTGCTGCTTGAACAATTTCTGGTGAAGTACATTGAAGATCAACAGCTTTCAACATTTTCCACTGCTAACTGCACTAGTTAAATTAAAAAACACTTTTAGCATCGCCACATAAACTTTTACTCCTAATAACATAATATACTATATTTTTACCATTTGCGCTTGCTTTGCTAGTCTCATATTTCCACAATTTGAAAAATTCTTGGAAAATAAGAACACAAATCATTTATTTTTCTTTTTGAAGAGAAAAATAAAACAAAACTAAATTTAAGTTAAAATTTAAGTTAAAATTAAATTTAGCTTACACCCAATTCGATATCTAGCTCTCCTTTCTTGTCTCTTTCGCTGCTTCATTAATTTCTGAAGAGGTACATTGTAGATCGTCAACATTCAAGATTTTGTCCTACTAACTGCACTTGTTAAATTAATAAACACTTTCAAAAATCTTATTTTCTTCGTTTACTTGGTAATTATAGTGTTGCTGTTTACTATCTAAATACCATTGCGGATAAAAAGTGAGTTTATGTTATATCACTTTAACTCCTAATAATATAATATACTATTATTATAAACTATTTGTAAGTGTCATCATTTCATTCTAAAAGTTTGAAAGTTTTTATAAAAAGTTTTAAGGTGGATTTAGCTTTGCATTAAAAACTTTTTGTATACATATATTTGTATTATTTTATAAATTCCTGGCCTGAATAAATTCGATAAGTCTACATATCCATTTTTTTAAATAATTGTGACAAACAAAGCGTGCGAAACTTCCCAACTTAATTTAAGTTTCTCTGGCTTACTTGAATAAAAAAGCGTGTCTACAGGCACGTCTCAATCAACAAAACTTTCCCGCAAAGTTAGTAGAAAAAGAAAAAGATTCTAGCTTAGACAAGAGTCGTAAACCTCCTATAGTTAATCGCATTTAAGTCAAATAATTTGAAAGAAATGCGAAAATTCGTTTTACTAAGAACTGAAATAATTTCAATCGATGTAATTCTTGCTCCTTTTAATACCCAACCCGTTGTTGGTGTTTAGGAAACGGCTCCACAGGGTCTAATTTAATTAAACCGAGATTTACTAACATGCAAATACAAACACGCTTGTTTTTATTGCGCAAAATTTCGCCACTATTTTTAAAAAGCAGTTTAATTATGAATCGAGACCGTTCTCAAAAACGTTGACACTGAATTGGATTTCTCTGTTCAATTTTTAAATTAGTTTTCGATTTTCAGGGGGGTGTTTTCAGCTCCGAAAACGGTACAAGCCACCGTCACACTTCTTGAAAATTTGCACATAATATTAGAGAAAACCCCGCGAGACGATATTCGCACTGAAGTGCTGCCAATGTTATACAATGCCTTCGAAAGCACGACGATACAAGTTCAGGTACGTATAAAAAAAACTGCTATGGTTTAAAAAACCACGATGCAAGTGAAACTTTTTTCGGATCAATACTCTGGTCAAAACGAGGAGCACTTGCACGAATGAGTAAGAATATAAATGCTACACGGTCAGCTGACGCGGGCCATGGGCGCCGCCATATTGGCCTTTCACTTTACCCCTACTATAGATGGACGAAAAATTTTGAGGCGATGAAATAAAAGTTTCACTTTAAAAAGTTGTGATACCAAAACACAGGATAGGAAATTGAAATCTTAATTTTCTGATAAAATACAGGAAATTGCATTTGTTCTCGATATTCCTAACCTGATACGTTACTTAATTAAAAATTCTGCTTGAAAAACACTGGAACCAGATAAGTTTTATTTCAATTATAATAAGAAGAAATAAATAATAAGACAATATGCGTCGTTGAATTGTTTCGCTAGTTAACTAGAAAACTGAAAAAAAACACTTTTATTATATTCAGTTTGTTGAGATAACCAGCTTAAAGCTGTTCCCTCAAGCGTTACAATTTTATAATAGTCAAGTATAAACACCAATTACAGTGCCCAAAGTTATCCCTAAATAATTATTTTATTACAATTTTAAATCAATTAAATAACACAAAATTAAATTTTGCTCATAATTGGTCCAATTATTAAGTAAATATTGTTTAAATAGAATAAATAATTTGAAATAAATTCATTTATAAATACAGGACGTTTTAATCTCAATGTCTGAAATGTCGGTAATGTAAAATTCAGTAGCGAATTAAAAACACGCACAATCGCTTTTGAACACAAATGTTCGCCTTGCACAAACATTGCTCTTTATTTCAAAGCAAACACAACAAGCTATAATCAACAGTTGACCGTTTTGTGGTGATGAGAGACAAATCCCCCATTCTCTCATATACTCATTCTGTCATTTCACTTTATATTATTTTTCAGAGTGCTGCCTTGGTGGCAGTAACAAACGTTTCAGAATATTTAGACGAAACAGCAATCAGACGTATGATACTGCCAAAAACAAAAATGATCTACGAAAAAAATCAAACCGATTTGAAAATCGTTTCGAATGTTTTGTCGTGCGTCGAGAGGACGTTGGATCGACTGGACAAAAGCCAAATCATCGACGAGGTTTTACCGCTTTTGTACGACATACGATTATCGGATCCGCAAATAACGCTAAGGGTCGTAAGTAAGTGACGAGTTTGTATCAATGGGACTTGGGTATCTATTTTAAACGGACACCTGGCCAAAAAGGGGAGTTTAATAGCCAATAGCATTAACGAAATAGACTCAAAAATATTTTTTTTTCTGTCGAATTCGAAAATGTCGTGTAGAAAGGAAATTGTAGGGGGGCTCGCGGCTTTGCCGCTCGCCCCGTCTAGAACTCACACTATCGACTTTTATAGAGGGCTAGTGGCTTTTTAGACAAAAAATAAAAGTCAAACTCGTATTTTCGTATATAAAATCCTTTAAAACTATGATATTTCGTAACTTGGTATTTTTCCCCAGACATCTACCGGTTAATGCTCAGCGACAAGAAATACGGATTATCCGTGAATTTAATGGCAACCAAAGTAATGCCTTCGTTGTTGCCCCAAACGGTAAACCCCTCCTTAAACCTGGAGCAATTTACGATCCTCCTCGAGGTGTTACAAGAAATGCTGGACCAAATTGACCGGAACCAACGCAATAAACTGAAACTCGATAATCTCTCATTGCCGAGTCCGGAGCGTCACCGGCCATTACGCCACCAATACTCCTCCGATAATATGCACGTACCCCCATTCAACATCCCCAATTTGCGAATAGAGCAACGCAAAACGTCAAGTGCCGAAGACATGGCTCGAAAAAACTCCACAGGTTGGTTATTTTCAACAAGTTTTGAAGTTTTAATTTGGGGTTTGATAGGTGGAATGTTGGGTGGTTGGTGGTTTGGAGGGTCACCTTCATCTCCCGACAGCAACTTCCTGCGGGTGGTTAACGCCTTCCCCAACAGAAGACTCTCGGATAACACACTTATGACACCGAAAATACGCATCGCGCCGTCGTGTGCCTCCTCGCCGGGAGGCACTCCAGGAGGGGGATTGCCCATCAGGAGGCATTCGAGTATTGGACCACAGGAGAGGAGAGGATCTACGGTTAATCTGTCACCACCAACGGTAGGCCCACACACCGATCGGGGAAAAACACAAAATTTGTAGCGTAAACGGTTTATTAAGCGCTTAATCTAATTTAGACGTAAATTCGGAATCGAAACGTTTACGCTATATGTCTCAAAGTTTCAATTGGTATTTTATAAGCTTCAGTAATAGTTATTTATTGCAGATTTAAAGTTTAATACAGGCGGCTGCGTAGGCAAGAGATGCACACAGTAATTCATCAATTTATACAACAAGTACATAAATTCTTCAAAAAGTAATAAACGAGAACTATTCCAAACGAAATTCTTTTTCTATTGTAAAACTACGTGCAGCAACTTGCGATTTTTAGGTCACAAAGGCGATAAAACATTTATCGATATTTTATTTATTGGAGCACTTGCACGAATGTGTAAAAATATAAATGCTACACGGTTAGCTGATGCGAGCCATGAGCGCCTTTCACTTTATCCCTACTCTGTGGTCGACTGTTATGCGACATGCGATAGATGGACGAAAAAATTTGTGGCGATGAAAAATGTTTCACTTTAAAAAGTACAAAGATGTGTAAATATTAAAATAAGAAATTGAGTAGTTGGCCATAATAACTTGATTTACATCAAATCGATGTGCACAATTCGCCCAAACACAAATAAACGTCTGATAATTTTTTGTGCCCAAAGTTATCCCTTTCAACATTCAATGTAAATTATTTTCATTGTTATTTTTACTTCCACCTAACAAGAACAGACCCAATGTTTATAAGTAAAACTTAATATTCACAAAAAAAAAAAAATCACCCCCTTGTGGTCAACCCTTAAAAATTTTCAGGTCCAACTTGGCCTAGTTTCGCCATCAACCCTTGTATTTTCCCAACTTCAATTACACTAATAGACATTTCACAAATTCATTACAACACACCGAGCGTTTAATTTTAGCCTAGATCTGGTAGTGCTTAAGCAAATTAACTAATTTCAAACTAAATTCGTCTTAATTTCAACAAAATTTTGCTTATTTTTATTTTAATTCGACTTAGAAACAAAATTAGCGTCCGATGCCTCCGGCTGAGTGGATTTGTGTATATAACAAGAAAAATTTTCCGATATTAAAAAAGCTCTCATTCTCTTTGGAAGTAGTCGAAAATCAAATTGTTGCGAGCAAAACGAGCTACAAAAGCCTTACATACTCGGTGAATTGCTGCTATATCGAACATAGAATTTTTGCTGGAATGCTCTTCAAAAGTAATATTTTCGAGGAAGCATAATGTAAACTTTAACTGCCTGTATTAAACTTCAGCAGACGCTTTGTCAGGTATTATTAAATTGATTTCCACTAGATGATAAAAGCATGTAGATTGTCGCTTCAAATAATATTAATGTTGGGCGATTTTTCAATTTTCAACATTAATAATATTATTTTCGATAACATAACACAACCATGCAATAATATTTCGACAAGTCTAATAAATAACTGTTACGGCATTTTGACGATAAATTAAAGAAAAAAAAATACATATCTGAAACGCAAACTGTAACAGTGTTGATATGTTTACAAATTTTCACATCCCGCTTACACACTGTTTAAACTGTGTGTCAATAATTGCAAAATTAGATCGGTTGAAACCACTTCCCACACTTAATTAGCACAATAAAAATTTTTAATCATATTTTCAACACTGTAACCTGCAAATACTCTTTGCAAAGGAAGCGAAAATTAAACTCGAAATGACTTGATGAAAAATATTATTTTATCGAGCTTAGATTTGTTTGACCTTTTGAGCCGGGCGTTCAAATATCAAAATATGTAAACACAACACCCGAACAAACGAACCTAAACAAATACCATGAAGAAGTGTAGACATTGTTCTAGACTTGTTTTGTGTTTTGTAACAATTGAAACAAGAGAAAAGCAGATAACAATTTTAAAATAATAAAAATATTGAGCTGGGAAAAAGTCAGATGCAAAACATTTCCATTTACAGTAAAGTCGGAATTTTATTTAACAATGGGAAAGCGGCTTTCAAAACTCTGTTCATTAATAAATAAAAAGTTTGTTCCATTCATTGTGAAGTTCGAGTAGATCAATATTCGGGAACCCTTGAACTCAATAATAATCTTGAAAAGGGCAATAATTTGTGGCAAAGTTCAGTTTTTCACAACTGAAACTAGAGATTAGGTCAAAGCAAAAAATCGGAATGAATACTTTGCAAACTTCACCTTTGAATAATTAAAAAGAAAGATGTTTTTCTCCAACAGTTCTCTTAAAGTTATTTGCATTGTTTAGAAGGTTAAATATAAATATGTAATCTTAAAGAAAATGTAATAAATAATGAAACGGAAAATGCGAAAAACGAGCCCGAATGCAAAATTTATTTAGCAAATTAAGAATTAGTAATTCATGGAGTAAATAATTAAAATGAATTTTTTTTAATAAATACAGGGTGTTTACGGTCTTGGAGTTGAAAATTGACCTAGTAATAGAAGAGTACAGAAATACTGTAATCAATTGTTATTATTAAGAATATTATTTAACACCAAAATATTGGTACACGGTTTGAGGGTCACTGGAATTATTTTCTTGTTCAGATAAAATTGTATTGTTGCAACAAATAAAAAAATCGTATCCATGACAATAAACGAGAAAAGTCACTTCATAGTTTTGACACTGTCATCATTTACTTTGCTTTTGCTTTAGTTTTTATCAAAATTCGAAGATCTTCTGTTTAAACTCTTCCAGTGAGATAGTTTCCAGTCGATTTGATTCGTTTTTTCCAAATTTATGAAGATGGATGGCAAAAAATTATAAAAAAATAAATTGGTTGTCGTGATTATGATTTACGGTGAAACACAAGGTAATGATACTAATGACCATTGTTGCAGCCGAAGCAGCAGTTCTCAAACAAATAATATAAAATGATTTTTTTCCTTTCACAAAGTGAATTTTTGTTTTATATAGCGTATTAGTTTTCTTTTACAGTGAATATCATCTCATTTAAATTTCAACCTCAAGACCGTAAACACCCTGTATATACATAATTTTGCCGGTTATTCAAAATAATATCAAAATATGACCGTCTATTTAATTTTCTGATCGCAGTGGCCTGAGACTGATATTAAGTCAAAAACACCAAAAGTAGCCCACTTGTTTGTACAAAATCTCTCACCTTTCCATAAAATCTGGAATTCAGTTAGCAATAAATTATTAAATTAAATAGCAATAGCTAGCTTATATTAAATTAGCAATAGCTACTTGTTTTAACTCAAAATTAAAAAATCGCCGTTTACTAAGCGTCCACTTCGAAAATAGTCTTCAAATATAAACTTGTTTTTTTCCAAAGTATACATTATTATCAATTATTATTGGAAATTAGTTGAAACAATAAAAGTTTAATTAACAACAATTTATTATTAATTAATAAGTGACACTAATGACAGAACTAGAGCTTTCAAAAAAGTAGAGCAGCACAAATAAAGTTACATGCAAAAAAATTCCAAAGCTGGCTAGATGAAATTCATTTATAACCACTCTGTAAAACTGCATTTTAGATACGATGCGTCAAGAGAGGGTCTCGCCACTGCTCGCGGCGGCAAACCCCCACTCGCAACACTATACACGCAATTTGTTAAAAACACCAATGGCACTACTTTTAAATAATTCACAACCGTATGTTATCGAATTTTCATCGTTTTAATTGCATGTACCTATAAGAAAAATGCATTATACACATCAAAAACTACTATTGTTTAAGCAAAAGTTACAAAATCAGTGACATAATGCATTGTTGGGGCCTCTACCAATTTAGCCGCAGATTTCATTTCGATTTTTTTCTATAACAAGGTAAAATTTTTCAAATTAAGCATCCAATTTTTTGAAAAGTATTTCGAGTTATAAAAAACAATTCCCTCCTGCGCAAAGAGTGTTTCCGTCCACCCTTTCCCCAAAAGAAAAGATGCTGAAGCGCTTGTTCGCACAGGGCGCTATAGGGTACAGCTCTGTGTCCCGTGAGGGCTCGAGCCTATCGGTGCCATCCACCTATGTAAGTGCTCCCGTGTATGTCGTGTGGTGTGTTATGTTCGACGATGAGTTCGTTCGTGCACCCGCGGAGAGGTTCCTTTATAGAAACCTCTCTCCGGAATCATGCACGACACTACACGCTCACTCATATCACTTTGTTAATCATTTTTGTTCATTCTCATTTGTGCCGTCCGACCGCTTGGATCATGTGCAATGTGTTGATTGCGCTCTGTCTCTATTCAGCTTGCACGGAGCATGATAGTGAGTATCTGTATCTGTTTATTGTTACACAAGGCGACAAAAAAAAGTCAAATTTTATATCATTTTGTTCGTCTCAGTAAGACAAATCAAATGCACTAAAAAGAACTAAATAATTTTTTTCTAATTTAAATGAATTTAAAATACTTGAGCTTTAAAAATCATTACTCAATAACTATTAAGCCGATTTCCTTCAAATAAAGACCATTCTAAAGGGATGGACTTGCCCTTTAGAATAATATGCAATTTGAAATTGAATATTGGCAAACTTTTCTTCAAGAACTTCGAAGTAAATCGAAGTAATCTAAGAAAAACCCTACGAGTAATTGTTTTTTTCTTTGTCACCATCGTGTAGAGCATCTTTTTATTAGTAAGAAACCAAATTTTTAAAATAATATACCGAGTAGTTCCCAAGATATGATTTTTTGAAGTTAAGGTTTGCTAATCAAGGGGAGAAATGCATGTTAATTTTACTTAAAATTGCATTGTTATAAAAGTATTTGTTTTAAGGCTCTTTTTTTGCTTAAAAATGGTCAATTGCACCTTCTTTGTTTTAATTAGAATAAACAAAAACTGTTTCTTTACTTAAAACTAACAAAGAGTACCTGCGTACTAATTAAAGCAAAGAAAGAGTTTTTTTGTGCTAAAAATGATCACTGATCATTGAGCAAAAAGGATCTAGAAGTTTAAAGCAGTAGCTTTAAATATAAGAACAAATCTTTTTCAAATTAAATGACTTTCCATTGAGATTCCAACTTGTTCACTTTGTTCTAGCTTTCTGAACTGTTTTTTGAAAATGTTCTCAACAAATGCTTTCTTATCACTTTCTACTGATGTTGAATGCAATAAGTCAGTTGCTTCGTGTGCAACTGTTATCACAACAACTACTACCTGCAAGCTAACTGAAGCTAATCATACCAACAAAATAAATCAGGTGACTTATTGCATTTAACATCACTCGAAAGTGATGAGAAAGCATTTGCTTAGAACATTTTCAGAAAAAGTTCAGAAAGATAGAACAAAGTGAACAAGTCAAAATCTGAATGGAAAGTGATTTGATTTGAAAAACATTTGCCCTAATATTTAAGACTTCTAGATCCTCTTTGCTCAATGATCAGTGGTCATTTTTACAACAAAAAAACTCTTTATTTACTTTAATTAGTACACAGGTATTATTTATTTGTTTTAAGTAAACAAACAGTTTTTGTTTATTCTAATTAGAACAAAGAAGGTGCAATTGACCATTTTTAAACAAAAGAAGAGTCCTAAAACAAATGCTTTTATAAAAATGCAATTTTAAGTAAGATTAACATGCATTTCTCCTATATGGAGCAATGCTTGATTAACAAACCGTAACTTCAAAAAATCATATCTTGAAAACTACTCGGTATATTTTTTTGAAAATTTGGATTACAACTAATAAAGAGATGCTCTACACGATGGTAATGATGAAAAAAAAATTACTCGTAGGATTTTTCTTAGATTATTTCGATTTACTTCGAACTTCTTCGAACACTGTTCGAAGAAAAGTTTGCCAATATTCAATTTCAAATTGCAGATTATTCTAAAGGGCAAGTCCATCCCTTTAGAATGGTCTTTATTTGAAGGAAATCGGCCTAATAATTATTGAGTAATGTAAAGTATTTTAAATTCATTGAAATTAGAAAAAAATTATTTTGTTCAGTGTGTGGACTTTAAAAAAAAAATTTAGTGCATTTGATTTGTCTCACTGAGACGAACAAAATGATGTCACGACATGACTTTTTTTTGTCGCCTTGTGTTATCATAAAGACATCCACCACCACCACCACACGGGTCGCTAATAATAAGGCGGTCCCATGTCACAGCCACCACAGTAGAGTAGTCTTTGTTGTAGACTAGCAGGAATGCAGTTTTGCCAAGTGAAATAATGTTTGGCAGAGCTGCGGTATAAGCTGCGATTCTGAGCTTTGATGGGGTTTCAGGGAGGCTCGATGCCCAACACGAGCAGCAGCGTCCCGTTCCTGCTCAGCAGTAGCATGCAGAGCATCCGTTCCAGACGGCCGTCGGCGGTGTTGGGCGGCTCGCAGGGCTCAGGGCTGTTGCAGCAGCTCGGCTCTGGCATGGTAAGACTCACCTCTTCACACCAACCGACCAACGGCCGAACGTTCTCTAGTAGCTCGGTTAGGAAATGCCCCTCCCTGAACATTACATTTAGCTGAATGTACGTACGTATGACCATCGTCGTATTAACACTCACACTCCTGCTTCTCCCACACAAGTCATATGTCTCTGTCGTGCATTTCATTATCACCTGGCGGGGGCTATTGAAACTATTTCTCAAATTATGGATAGGGGATACTGATGATGATGATAAGTCAAGATACGAAACCCACCTCCGCCTAATTTACATCTTTATATTGAGACTGACTACTTAAGACTGTTTTAGATGTTTATTTTGTAGAACGGCGAGGAATACCACTCTCACAGGTAACTCTTTTCTACGTTTTTCAAATACGCAACAAGATCTAACTCCGATCCAGCTTAAATTTTAATGGTAAAGAAACACGAAATAAATAAACAACCAGACTATCTTTCATAAAAACATCGAATTTTAAACAAATGCGATTAATTACAAACACAATAAAAAACAAAATGAATCAAATAATATGGGTTTCCGATCGCTAAAAGCTAACGACAAAAAAAGAAACAAAAACAAGTTTCAGTTTCAAAGTCAAAAAACTAAAATCTACCTTTTCAAAAAAAGGAAAAATTCGCAATAATTTAAAAGTTTAAAATCGAGTAAGTATATATTTTGGATAGCAATTTTCTTGATAACTATTTATCGTAGAACACTGATCTTTTTTGTATATGATAGAAAATTAAATTTTCTTTCTAACGGTGCCATACATAAGAGGTTATCATCAATAAGTCCGATGTTATTGGCAACAGACTGCTCCGAGTGCCAAAAATCGACTAAAATTTTGACAAAAGTCCAAAAAATTTTCAACATTCAAAATTAATCCATACAACAGAGGTCCTAAAGACTCAAAAAAGTGCATTAAACGTTATTGGGTCAAGTTTAAAAAATTACGAATTTTTCGAGTTTTTCAAGGTTTACATTTCTAGAGGTCCTAAAGACTCAAAAAAGTGCATTAAACATTATTGGGTCAAGTTTAAAAAATTACGAATTTTTCGAGTTTTTCAAGGTGAGCGGTAGTAAAATCGTAAAAATAGTCAATTTACCTTAAGTCGTAAAACGCTTGAAATATAGTTTTCTAGAGGTAAAAATAAGCACTGAACACAATACTACAAATTAAATGCTGATCCATAGTTTTAATATATTAAATAAAAATTGTAGGAACACTAAAAATAAACCTTTATTTTATCCCGACATATTTTTTGTCGATCTTTTTATTTTATATAAACAGTAAATCATTAGCGTACTCGCTTTTAAAGACACGACAATGTTTTCCCTTATTATGGACCGTTTTCACAAATCTCACAATACTTGGAAGATTCATTGCTTTAAAAGCCAGTTTCATAATCGAATTTGAATGTTATTTAGAATATGCTGATTATTATTAACTTATTGACAAAAATTTCACATTATAAACCAATATTAAGTTTAAAGTCCCTTTAATTCTATGTATTTTATTATAAATTGAAACATATTTTAATTAATTTATTAAAAAAAAAAAGTTGTTTGAAGCTCGAGAGTGGAATCACCTCAGTTCACTTTCACTCAACTTCTAAAAGCCACGCAATTTTTCCAATAAGAAACCAATTTTGTGTTTTTATTAATACAATAAATACGGGGCTTTGGTTCCACTTCGCAAATTACTAAACCAGCGTTGGTGGAATTAAATCCGAACAAAAGTTGTTGGTTCCATTTGAAACCGTGTCCCCCTTTCAAGTTGACATATTTAGGTGTAAAGTTTCAGCTTTCAGCAAATTTATTCCCCAATCAATACAGCTACCTGTTGACACAAGTTATAAAGAGGGTTTTCATATATACCGCCGTAAAATCCACGTTATCTGTTACATTTATGCCTCCAAGTTGTTAGCTAATGAAAGCGTATAAATCGCAGTGAACCCATATTAGCTGATTCCTACGTTTACGTGCGACTTAATCGATGAATAAGTTTACGTAATCGTAATTTGTTATTTTAGGTGAGGATTGTAATATAATTTGAAGACTCCAAGGGGGGGAGTGTCTCGTATTCTTGAATATTACAATAACTTGCGATAGAATAGTTAGATCTCGCCCGCTTCCTTCCAATAACCCCCGCATAATTGTTTTCTGATGTTCCAGTACCAGCTATTTGCCGGACGTCAATAAGCATCCCCACGCTGATGATTCGAGCTCGATTTTATTTTTTTTTATTTTTTGTGAAGACCGGAAGTGGCAATCCGAGCGACAATCACAGGCGACCGCACAAAATCCAGACATGTTTAATTGTTGTGTGTGTCCATTGAAGTGTTTCTTAACTCTCTCCATCGTCCGATAACTATCTCACTGCAATATTTATCTCGAGAGGCGTTTCAACAGTCAAATGAACTGGAGGCAATCGTGCGAAGGAACTGTCCAAGTGTCTCAACGAGATTTTTTCCATTTTTACTTTCCTTATCCTGTATCTTGAGAACGATAAGAGCTAGAAACTTAAAATTTGGTATATTGCAAGGGGGACGTAGCACGAAACAAATGGTAAAAATCGGTCGCACCGTTCGATCGCAAAAATATACCTTATTAAACAGTAAATTGTGATAAAATAATAATAATAATAATACCGGGTGATACCCGCGACAACTATGATCCATTTCGCGTGTAATCCGTCAGATGGCACTAACGCAAAGGTTAGTCGTCGTTATTAGGATGTTTTCCAAATAAGTAGGATAAGGAAAGTCGTGTGATGTTCACACCAGATTTTTTTCATCATCTTACTCGACTTTCATGATTAGCAATAACTCCAAGACTGGCCAAAAATTATTTTCTTTTAAAGAAAAAGTGGGATATGGTCCAGTTTTGGTCCGAAATTGGAGTCAACGTAGCGTTCATTTGACTGAGAGTAAATCTGGCGATGGCGTGTAACCGTGCACAGTGTTGTTCCATTGGAAAGCGACCTTTCGCATGCCTGCGACTCTGTGCCCTTCTAGCCTTGTAAAAATACACCCTCGACAATCGTCTAAAAATATACAATTTCATATTTTTCATATGCATATTTCGTGAATCTCCTCTGTGTGTGTTTGTGCATGTAATCGTATTTGTGTGACTTTAAAAGCTCGTCTGACGAGTGTTATTCATGACACCAATGCAAAATTAGATTGAGAAATATTTTAGAAAGCTTCATGTGTTCGCTAATTCGCAAAACTAGCAAATTGGATAACTGTTTCATCGGATGATAATTCATTTCTTCTTGAGTAATTTGTTATTAAAACAACTCAACTGGAAAATCACTCGCAAAATAGATGGGCGAAGTTATATCAGCGCAACTTGTTAATTTTCCTACTAATTTAGCTTCAGGTCAAGTGGATCAATTTCGAACGCACACAAACATACTCCCTCATAACACTACTGCCAAAAAGTGCTTACACTTCTACATATCACCAAAATAAAATCTAATAAGTAGAAAGTTTAGTCCTGATATCCCAGTTTTAATAACTACGATGGACATGTGCTGTTTTAGACGTAGCTTCTCGAATCTCTAGAAATCAATATACAAATGTTTATTTTTAACTCGCCATACCCTTAACATTTCCTACACCTACACCTCGCACTTTTTGCACCGAATCGCAGAAATATTTCACACTTTTTCAATCTTGCTCAAATTTTGTATACGAAAAAAAAATAGGGGAATAAATAAGTAATAATAACCAAATAATAAAGAAAAGCAAGGCTGAAAAACAAGTATGTGACTGTTAACACAATAAAAACATATCATTTACAATAATTTTAACACTTAATAAATGTCAATTAAAAACGAACTTGTTTCTGCCTACTCTAGGCCTAATTTATTATTTTAAAATTTTCCATTTTTTACACTCAAACAAAAATGAAAGGTCAATATTTAGAACTTCCCCTCTGTCCGTTTTCGAATTAACTGCGGTGAAAGGCAAATACCCAAATCCCTAATTTGCGTATCCACCAGAGAAATTTGATATTGTCATTTCCGCTTATTTAAATGAATTTTAGAAGACCAATTTCCGATGCAACAATCCGGTGCAATTGGCAAATGGTAATTTTTTCGTTGGTAAAAGCAAGTGCCCAGGAAACTAGGTGATAAGTAGATACGTGTTTTCCTTACGGTACTTAAATGTACATAGAGTTGTGATTCTGATAATTTATTTTTTTACATGATTGAGAACACCTTTAGTGATAATAAAAAAGTGGCGAAAATATTTCTCCATCTAAGAAAACGATGAACATGATATGTAGGTAGCATTTAAATGAATATTTTTCTTTATATCGTGTCATTGTCATTGTTCCTGCTGTGATTCCCTGTCGGATTAGCTTGTTGTATCCCTCCGATGGTTGTGCCATTTGCTCAATGTTGTCGATCAGAGAGTTCGGTTCTTTTCGGCGGTGTCGAAAACGGCCGAATTCCTCTGCATTATTCATATTTAAAATTTGTTTATTTATGTAAATAGGAGAGTGTATAGCGTTTTCGAATTTATCAATCAATATTCCATGTTTACCATTCGACAATCTGTATAATGCACAATTATGAAATCATCTTTAACTATATATAAAATGTCAATACACACTAAATGTATGAAATGCCAATTCTCGACTGTTCATATCAACTTAATTACTACATATTTGTAAATTAAACATTTTCTTATAACTTTCGGTGTAAATAGTTCGGATATAGCTCTAATGTGTGTTGACTCTGTAGGTCAGAAATACAATCAAAACAGAAAGTACAAAACATAAAGATTGTAAAGGCAGACAAGGATTCAACACTTGAAACTTTCTCTGTCTTGCCATATCAACTGTTTCAATAATGTGACAGAAATGTTAAAGCAGAGGCAATGAGAGATTATTAAAATGTGATATGTTTCAAATCAGCATTTTATTTCCCCCCAAAAAATTTCTACAAACTGACACTTGTTGCAGAAAATCTATTGCTACATTGCCCCCTTAGTTCTACAACTAGATAACTTGAAATTTAAAATTTCGAAAAATTGCAGTTTAAAAAAAACTACACCCTGCAAATAATCAAATAGTATATTAAAGAACGCCTTTTGTAAGACAAGTTTTCTGGAACGAGTTCAAGTTTATGAAACACGTTTTTTTTCTATTTTGCGCGTTTTAGGTATTTTCTATTTTCACAATTTAGGAACTTTTGCCTTAATAAGGTGATGGTTGGTAATAAATGTCACAATGTTTGAAAAATTCAAAGTGTCAAGTCTCAAATATTTTTCAAAATTTTGTTGAATTAACAATGAATACTATGCACACCACCTGAAATAAGAGAAATCGCTCAAAACGCCGCTGAAAATCATTACCAACCTCTAGAAAGTGAATTGTACTAGTCCATTTCAGCACCCAAATTGGTGTTGAAATGGCTCATTAAAGCATCGGTTTTGGTATTGAAATAAGCTTTCTTTCAGACTCAAAATAGAAAAAATATTTATTAGTCATACAGGTGTGTAATACACTAAATTATGTTTTCTTAATTTTTAAGTATTTAAATACCAGAGAAATGCATGTCATTTTTTTTCAAAATTCGTCTTAAAAAATTTAGGGAATCATAAAAAGTGTAAAAAATCAAACTCGACTTTTTGACCCAAAATATCTTTTATTGCTACAAATATCGTAACTCATAATTCTTCTTATTATATTTTTTGTTACTTTTTGTTTATTAAATGACAAAGTATAAGTCACCTCACCTCGTATGTAAAACCTTTCTTAAAAAGGTTTATAGAAACTATCCTAATTACTTTCATCATCAGTTTTCAGGAGACTATCCGGAATATTTAACGGATTCAGAATCACATTCACCTAAAACATGACATAATTAATTTTAAAAAATCGCCAAATTGGTTACCTTTTTCTTCTTCCTGTTGTAGGTTCTAACACCTTGAGGTTTGTGAGTGTGGTCCAAACTTTTCATATTTTTAACAAATGTCCTTTTGTTGTGATCATTACTATTCTTTATTTTAAGCGCCAATCGTGCCAAATTTTGATAAAAAAAATAACTAGTCGTCGAATTTAAATCCGTCATCACTACACCGTTCGACATTTCCGCCAGTGCCAAATAACAATCCCTAAAACGACTCTTTACCATCAAATAACAAAAATACAAATCTACCTCAAATTAACGTCTATGTCGTTTGGCCGCTTTTCAAACAAAGCTACATATTTTAAGACTCGTGAAACAATATCGGAAACGGCTGTGTTTTCTTGACTTTTTTTAATAATTTTAATCCATTGATTTATCGCCGAATCCTCATCTCTGAGTTTTTCCTCGTCATTTATTCGCTGGTTTGCCAATTTCGTGTAGTTTTCAAACGCGAGTCTAATCTCAGTTATGGTTTTATCAGGGAGGAATTTTTGAATTGCGGCGATGTTATTTGCGCCACATTCTCGCAGAGCGCGTAGGAGTTTCCTTTTTTCGGCCACACTCCACGTACTCACTAAATAAACAACAAACCAAAATAAAACATTTATTTCACAAATTACAAGTTTTTATAATTATTCAAAATCGTATCACAAGTATCAAAAGCAGTCTTAAAATGCGTTTCCCTCACTCCAAACTTTTCATAATGATGCAAATAAGCACCAAACTTGTAGAGAGTCCTCGCGTCTTGCAAAATCGAATCAAGAGAGCCACAAATATTATTAGTGTTTGAAACGACAGTCAGGCAATTTTCCAAATTAAATAATTTTCGTTTTTGGTGGTAAAGTTGCAAGGTTTTGGGGGAATTACAGTCTTTGAACGGTTTGAGATCACTCTCGTTCGGATTATAAACTCCTCTGCATATCAAAGCCGTTGACAAACTTTTATGTTGTTTTTTTTGTAAAAAGTCAAAACGAGATTGGCGCGAGATTGACGTCAGTAAAGACTTACAGTTGGACGCACAATCGAGTTTTGAAAGTGGGGCCGATCTGATTTGTAACAATTTATGCGAATTGTCGCACAATTTTGTCAACAAATCGGAGGTTTGAGTGTTTAATGGTTGGAAAACGGAGAGTAATTGATGCGAAATCAAGTTATTTATATCGTCAAAAGTGACGTCTTTAATATTCAAGGAATTGATGCAATTGTAGTGTAATCTATCATTTTCAAACACCAAAATAGCGTCACTAATTGAATATATCTTAGATAGAGTGAGTAAGCTGTTGTAACTTTGGATTACGACCTCTCCATTGGAATATGGGAGGATTAGAGCATTGACAAATGTTTTATTAGGAAACTCGTTTTTTAATTGTTCAATTATGCAACTTCCAACGCCAGAACCTGTGCCCCCTGACGAACTAAAAACGTTTAGAAAACTGCTCAACAAATCGCTTTTTTCCAACTCTTTTCGCACACATTCCAGAGTATCGTTTAACAATAATTTACTTTGATGAAAATAGCCAAAAGCCCAATTATTAGCTGATCCTCCACATGACTTTGAAACGATATTTTTGAACTGATAACAGGATTTTTTGTGAGGAATTGTTTTACTTTCAGTGTCTATTAGTATAGATTTTGGTACTAGTTTTTTGGTTTTAGTTACGTTAAACCACTTATTTAAACTCTCATTATAGTAATCACAATGTTTGGGATTTAAAGACAAGTCGTTATAAATGTTGGAGTAGAAAGAATCACAGATTTGGTTGCCGCATTGGCCATAAAATAATCCAATGACGCTCATATTGCAATATAAAAGCAAAATTACGTACTTTTGCCTTTCAGAAGCAAACTCCAAAATCAGTCTCGTAAGAACCAGTCTAAAAATAAAAAAAATAGAGTTATGATTAAATGTATGTTGTTATCCTTACCAATTATTCAAATTAATTATAAAAAAATAAACGAGTGTTTTTATTTAGTTTCGTAAAGTGAATTTTAAAAACTACATAACCTCAACGTGTGACAATTAAATATTACAGGTTCCTGTAACGAATCAATTCATTTGAAGGCGCCACTATACAAAACATAAAAAAGCGCTTTATTCAAATTTGTACAAAATTAATAAATTAAATAAAACTGCATTATTTAATTATTACATATATTTATTATAAGAATCCTTTATGTGCAATTCCTGTAAAACATCTAAAAATACAATGACCAATTTTAAAACTAGTAGTATCCCCCTCTAATAAAAAAACAGTTTTCATTTTATACTGAAAAATTGTTAAATAAACTGATTACCTTGCAACTGGATCCATCGGCTTAAATATCTTTCTTGGAACAACCTTTTTTTTATGTCCAAATAGTAAATGCTAAAATACAAAAAAAATATATTCTACAAAATCTTGTTCAAATGCAAATTAATCTTTAGATGATATTTTTATAAATCAAATAAAATAAAAACGTTACCCTGGGATGTATATTGTTTCTTGAACCTGAAACCTGAAAAACCATTTCAGATAATTATTGTTATTGTTGTACGAATTTTATTTACCTCCTTCACCGGGTTATTAACAGCTATAACAGCGGCGCAAGCACCTAGCAAAAGAATGAAACATATATTGAACTTCATTGTTTTCAAAATTGAAACTGACCAACTTTTCCAAGCTTCTAGCTTTTATACATTTTTCACCTTTCATTAAAATATCAGTTACATTCATAAAAAAAACATTATTTCAAATCTAGATACTTACCCACCCATAAAATATTTATTGTTTAAACCTTTAACAAAATAAAATTGTAACATAAATATGTGGAATTTGATTGCATTCCTTTCTGTTTACTTATTTTTCATTGTTTCCAATCATATTCAAAAAAAATCATTCCACTATTAAAATCACCAAAACAAAAATGTCATTTTCTAAAATTACTTACAACGAAACTATTTAATTTTTATCGCAGTACAGGTTATTATAATTCAAATAGCGCCACAAACACAAGATAAAAACAGAATTTAAACTAAACAAATGTGCATTTTGTTTGGCATAAATTTTACAACATTTTAAATTAAAATGAAAAAAAAACTGCTATGGTTTAAAGAAACCACGATGCAAGTGAAACTTTTTTTCGGATCAATACACATCAATACATCAGTACACTGATCAAAACACGCAAATACCGGGGAGCACTTGCACGAATGAGTAAGAATATAAATGCTACACGGTATTGTCCTTGGCTTATCTGACGAGCGCCTTACACTTTACCCCTACTCCGCAGCCGGCTGTAATGCGACATGCGATAGATGGACGAAAATTTTGAAAATTTTGATGGAAAAAAGTTTCACTTTATGAATATTATTTTTGCACGTAATACGCATTAGGTGTAGAATTAAATATTACAGGAACCTGTAATAAACTGCATTTGAAGACGCCACCAAACAAGCCAAAAAAGGACCAAAAATTAATAAATAAATTAAATTAAACTGCATTATTTAATTATTACATATATTTATTACAAGAATCCTTTATTTGTAATTCTTGTAAAACATGTAAATACACAATGACCAATTTTAAAACTAGTAGTTTCTCGAGTATCCCCCTCTAATAAAAAAAAAACAGTTTTCATTTTATGCTGAAAAGTTGTAAAATAAACTGATTACCTTGCAACTGGATCCATCGGCTTACTTATCGTTCTTGGAACAACTTTTTCTTCATGTCGAAATAGTAAACCCTACAATACAAAAAATATATATACAGGGTGCGCCAGAACTCGCGCCCCAGAGAAAAATTTCAAGTAAGATAAGATACCAGGAACATGGAAAAAATGTTTAAAAAATTCTATCTGTCAAAAAAATTTGACATTTGTTTTTTGACATTTGACATTTTTTTATGTCTATTTAATGATGCTGATGTTTTTGTATGTTTTGTTACAATAATTTAGTAAAGATACCAAAAATTTTGCCTATAAAAGCCACAAATAACATTAAACAGAGTTACAATTTACGATACACAGCTTCCTTGTTTCCTCTTCTAATAGCCCGTAGCAAAAAAACTTGGAAAATTATTTTTGCAACAGAAATAAATAGAGTCAAAGTGCAAAATTTAAACTTTCATAACTGGTATCTTACCTAATATGGCATTTTTCTCTGGGGCGCGAGTTCTGGCGCAGCCTGTATATTCTACAAAATCTTGTTCAAATGCAAACTAATCTTTAGATGATATTTTTATAAATCAAATAAAATAAAAACGTTACCCTGGGATGTATGTTGTTGCTTGAACCTGAAACCTGAAAAATCATTTCAGATAATTATTGTCATTGTTGTACGAATTTTACTTACCTCCTTCACCGGGTTATTAACAGCTATAACAGCGGCGCAAGCACCTAGCAAAAAAATGAAACAGATACTGAACTTCATTGTTTTCAAAATTGAAACTGACCAACTTTTCCGGACTTTTAGCTTTTATACATTTTTTACTTTTTATTAAAATATTACATACTTAATTACATACATAAAAAAATCATTTTTGCAAAACTATTTACCTATAAAATATTTATTGCTCGAACCTCAAACACAATAAAATAGTAACATAAATGTGTGGAATTTGATTGCATTCCTTTCTGTTTTCTTATTTTTTATTGTTTTCAATCATACTCAAAAAAAAACTCATTCCACTATTCAAATCACCAAAACAAAATTGGCATTTTCTAAAATTACTTGTTAATCTTTTATTGTATAATGAAAAAGCACAACAAAACTATTTAATTTTAACGCAGTATAGGTTACAAATAGCGCCACTAAGCCAAACACAAAATATAAACTAAATTCAAACTAAACAAATGTGTATTTTGTTTGGCATATATTTTACAACTTTTTAGATTAAAAAAATATATTTAAATACGTATATTATTTTTGCACGTAATACGTGCATTGGGATTGCACACATTTATGGAATTAAATATTACAGGCACCTGTAATAAACTGCATTTGAAGACGCCACCTAACAAGTCAAAAAAGGACCAAACATTAATAAATAAATTAAATAAAACTGCGTTTGTTACTTTTCAATCTTTTACTTAATTAATAATAATATAATTAATCTTTTATAACTTTTATTTTTTCTGTAGATCCTTTAGAATATAACTCCTGTAAAACATGTGATTACATGGTGCCCACATTTTTCAACTTGTAATGTTTCATCACATATTTTTCTCTAATAAAAAAATAATCAGATATCACTAAAAAATTGTTAAAGAAACTGTATTTACATTTCAGTTAGCCTCGTCTCGTTAGACACCCATACCGGAAAATTTATATCATTTTTATGAGGTGGTATATTTGGAAAATGCTGAAATACAGAAAAATATAATCTTTGCTACAAAATCCTGTTTAAAAGTAGCTTAATCTTTAGGTAGTTTATGATATTTATATGAATCAAATAAAATAAAAACCTTACTTTTGGGTGTATATCTCTAGTACCTGAAACCTGAAAAATCATTTCAGATAATTGTTACTTACTTATTGTATGTATGAATTTTACTTACCTTGTCCACCGGTTTCTTATTAACAGCTATAACAGCAGAGCAAACACCTAACACGAAGATGATACTAATGCTAAACTTCATATTGCTTTTACAATCCAAACCGACCAACTTTTTTTCAGCTTTTATATATTTTTCACTTTTTATTAAAATTTTAATTACATACATAAAAATATTTATTGCTTGCACAATAACACAATAAATTAGTAACGTAAATGTGTACGATTTGTTTGTATTCCTTTCTGTTTTCTTATTTTTTATTGTTTTCAATCATACTCCAGTAATAACAGTAAAAATACTCAAAAAAACTTACTTCGCTATTAAAATCAACAAAACAAAAATGTTATTTTCTAAAATTACTTTGTTAGTCTCTTATGTCTTAATTTACTTTTTTAATGACTAATTGTTTTCGATTTAATAACTTTTATCACAGTACAGGTTACTGTAATACAAATGGCGGCACTTAGGAAAACCCAAAAAAAAACTAAATTCAAACTAGACAAATGTGTATTTTGTTTGACATAAATTTTAGATTGAAATAAAAAAAATGATAATTTTTGCACATAAAACGTGAATTGGGATTGCACACATTTATGGTTTTCCCCACCATAAAAACTCGCTATCGCTCAATGTTAACTGAATTAACCAATTTGTTAGTTGTTAGTGCGAGAATGTTCCCAATTAATATCATGTCTTGTAATACAGTGATATATTAATTAAAAATGTAACAACCTGACAGAAAATTAGTTATAATGTGACTAAATGACTTTAATCGGTGCTTCTGATAACTCATCGTTGCATGTACTTCCGTTGGGAATGCCCAATTCTGAAGTAGTGTTAAAATGTGAAGACCAAGATAGTGTAGTCACGGAATTAGAAGATTTGTGCAGTTCCAGTGAAACTAATTTTACTCCAGCTGCTATAAATGTGGAAAATTCAAAAGATGTTATCATTGGGCCTGTAACCCAATTCCATGGACCAGTCACGATTTATCAAAATGTTACACATTCGGCTGCTTCTGGAGGGGCTATAGAGAATGGATCTGCTACCAATAACGATCTCAATGGTATAAAATTAAACATCTTATTTATCTTTTGCGGTGGTGCAAGTGCGTTTCTGCGAATTATCATGTTTGAACACGATAAATATAACACAAAATAAATAAAACAAAATGATGCACGATTTAAGTAAATAGAGCAGAGCAGATTAGAAACTTCTATTACAATATAAAAAACAGATTACTGTTCTTAATTATTTTTTGTTATTGTATTATATCTACATGCAGTTTATAAAATTTAATATTCTTTTACAAAATTTAGCGTTGTGACCCCTGTAATAACCAAAATAAAAGTTACAAGATATTATAATTATCTAAATTTTTTAATCTTCTGATATTCCTGGTGGCGAAAGCATTCTCTTCTTAGACTTCCTTGTATTAGAACATATTTTTTTTTTATATATCTTCGAAGTCATTTTTTTGTTATTTTTCTTATCATTTTCATGGATTTTTTCTTTGTCAGAAGGCACCATCTTGGTATTTGTCTTATGTTTTGCATAACGTCCTTTTCTGGTAGAAGCCATCCTTTTATTTCTTTTATGAAATTCCACAACTTCTTTACCGTAATCAATCATTTTTGTCAAAGACCAAATTAGAGGGATAATAAAAAACTAATAAAAAAAAAGAAAAATTTGTAAGAATTTCAATTGTAGATTTATCATAAAAAAGCTAAACAAAAATTGTAAGGCAAATTACAATTTTTAGTAACTTTTTTTTATTTGATGTTTGGTATTACAAATAAATACCTTCTTAATCCGAATTAGTTTAATTTAGTGTTAGTATACCTACTTATTATTAAAATAATCTTACTCTAGGTTGAATTTCATGTTGTCTAGAAGCTAGTCCAGAGTCTCGAGCTTTTTGTTCATGAAATATAATTTTAGATAATACTTTTACCACATCTTTGGTCTGTAGCTTATAATAACAAATTATAAGTTTTTATTGCGTACATTTTTTACTACTTACTTTATCTGCCACTGCATGATTTCCCTACACATTCCATATATAGAAAAACAAGAAAATTAAACATAAATTATTTAAAAATTGTGCTCATTTTTACCAATTCATTACTAGCTAGAACAACAGTACAAGTACAAAAACCGCCCAATAGGACGATAAAGCTGATCTTCATGGTGAAGTTAGTTAGTCATTAACTTCGCTAATCCCATTTTTTCAGCTTTTATTCAGTTTTTCAGATTTTATAGAGCAGTTAATTTTGTACATAAAAGTGTGGTGTGATTGATTATTTTTTCAAAAATTAACGATAAACATTTTTTGTTGCTCTATTAATCTTTTGAATACGTTTACAAAGACTAATTATTATTTTTTTCCAACACTAATATCTTACACTGTTTCTATGGTGCCTTTAAACTTATCTCCTTCTATAAAATACGTCGTCAATCAAATCGTATGTTATAAGCACATAAAATACAGTTATCTTGTCATTTTGCCACTTTTGAGATTATTTTGACAAATTTCTTTATAACAGTTTCTGAATTTAGTAAAATTTCTGACTCAAAATTATTGTTAGAAAAGTTTTGAAAACAACACAAAAAATGTCGGTCAATAAAATACTTGATTTTTAAGCTGTCTATAAAACTCTTAAAACAAAGGTGTCATTCTCTAAAGTTACATTTTTATTCTGTTAATTTTCTTGTAATAAAAGTCTCATAACAGAGCTATTATACTATTATGTACGTGTGTTTAAAAAATGTAATGACGGTTACAAATCACAATTTTTTAATAGAAAAATTATACTTTTTAATTTTTTTTTCATGTGAAAAAACAGTTATTATTTTACTTATAATATAATATTTCACAGCAAATAAAAGAAGAAAATATTTGTTTACAAAGTTCAGTGTTGTGACTCTTTATTTATACCTAATCCCTGTAACAACAAAAATAAAATTTACAGAAGCTTATAATGCGATTCGGAAATGTAATATATCATGATTCTTCTGGATATTCTTCTGGATGTTCTTCTGGATATTCTTCTGGATATTCTTCTGGATATTCTTGTGGATATTCTTCTGGATATTCTTGTGGATATTCTTCTGGATATTCTTCTGGATATTCTTCTGGATATTCTTCTGAATATTCTTCTGGATATCTTTCTACTGGCGGTTCTTCTGGTGGCTGTTCTTCTATTGCCTTTTCTTCTACTGGCACAGCTTTTTCTGCCCATTCTGTCGTTTCCGGTGGCGAAAACATTCTCTCCTTCAGAGAAGACGTCTTTTTCTTAGAATCAGTAGACACCTTGTTGTTAATCTTCTTATTGTTAATTGCATGAGGATTTTTATCGGCAGAAATTTCCTTTTTCTTATTTTTCTCATGAATTACATGGGCGTTTTTAGAGGGAAAAGCCTCTAATGTATTATTTTTCGCATTAATTGTATTACCAACTGCATGAATTACTCCTTTACCAGGAGACACAAATTTGTTCTTTTCATTGCTTGCATGTTTCTTGACAGATCGTGGTTTATTAAGTACATGGTTTACTCCAGCAAGGGTTGCACCACCTGATATACCACCCAATATAGCCGCAAATATTGGAACAATGAATGGTAAAATCTAATAAAAAAGGAAGATTCGAACAGAAAATCATTCGTAGATTCATCATAAAAAACTAAACTAAAAATATAACAAATAAAGCAGAAGAGCAATTAAGATTAGAATTTTTAAGTTATTTAGTGTTAATATGTAATTAAAATCTTACTCTGGGTTGAACAGTTTGACGTCCTGAAGATAAACTTGCCTATTCGGAAAATATAATTTCAGATACCAATTTGAAAAACTCTAATTACATACCAGTTTTTTATTCTATAATAACAAGTTATAAGTTGGTTCAATTTTTTAACTACTTACTTTATCCTCCACAGTAGTGTTTGTCTGTTTACGATAAAAAAATAAAAAAATATTGAAACATTTTGTATATGCTTACCAAAGTAGTACTAGCTATAACAATGCTGCAAGTAGCGAGCAATAGTATATTATTAAGTCTCAATTTCATTGTTGCTTAATAGAAAACTAAATTTAGCAAGGGTTGCTTCGGCTTTTGTACTCTTTTTAATTGTTATCGGACGCATAAAAATGTTTAATACCCAATCATTACTATTTTTTTACATCAGCCATGAATTATTAATTGTGCTCTTATCCTAGACTTATTTCATTTTATTTCTCAACTTTAACAAAAAATATTTTCTGAACCCAAAATATGGGTGATAATATCCTTTTTATTAGAAAAGTAAGGGACATTTAAAAATAGCAAATAACCTTCTCTTTATAACTCCACATACAAAAATAATCATTAATTTTTAAAAAGCTCCGCTATTTATTGAATTTCAAACCTTTCCATTTCCACTTGCTCCGTAAACACGAATTTATCAAAAGTTATAAGACAAAAATGCGTAATAAACTGAAAGATTCATGTATATTTTGTTAAATATTTTTCATGAAAACATCCAACCAATATAGAAAATGTTTACATAATTCCCGCTGATGTTAAACGGAAAGCATCGTTCTTTTTCAGTAGATAAACCGAAGAACGATTCAGTCGCATTAATTTCAGCGTCAAAATCGAAATTTTCGTCAATGAGTATGACAGTTATATGTCCTCTCATGAAGCTCATTAGAGTCAATTCGAGCAGATATCGGCAAAAAAGCGACGTAGTTTCGCGAAGCCAAAGCGGTGAGTCCAAAATAAACAAATTAGAGAACAAAACATTTTTGTTCTGCTCTATTTACCATACTCAAATATTTACTCACACATCGATTAGATTAACCAGTTAATGAAACCGCTAATTGATAAATTTTTCAGGAAAACTCGTCAAGTCTGAAAGCACCTGTTCCGATTCTCCCCACGTCGAAAAGTCAAAAAACTCCTTTCTATACTCGAAACGTGTGAAATATTTGGGCCTTGCTCTAGTCATCATCGTAATTTGCGTCATTACAACTAGCATCTTAATACTCTCACGGAAAACTGATAAGTCTCCTGAAACTGAGACTGAGATCCCAAGACCCCCTTTGGGCCCCGGTGCCATCATCAATAAGAAAATCTGGGGTGGCCGTGCCACTTTAAACTTCTCAAAACCGCTACCACATCCCACACATTTTGTGATCATTTCCCACACTGTTACTCCATTTTGCAACGATTTTCTTAAATGTTCACAAAGGGTGCAATCCATGCAGGACTACCATATGGGTAGTTTGAAAAGTCCCGATATTGGTTACAATTTCGTCATTGGTGGAGATGGAAATGCGTACGTTGGAAGAGGTTGGGATATTAGGAATTTTCACATGGATGATTCAATCGGAATTAGTTTTATTGGAGATTTTATTCAGGATAATTTGACAGCAGATATGATCAATGTAGCGAAGAAATTGTTAGATGAAGGTGTCAAAAGTGGGAAATTGGCCAAAGATTATAAATTATTAGCTCATAATCAGACATACAAAACGGAAAGTCCGGGACCCAATGTTTACAAGGAAATCAAAAATTGGCCGCATTTTGATACAAAAATTTATTACTTAAAATAGTGACAGAAAGAAAAATAAATTTATGTAATTTATTATGTTATTTGCTGGTTGTTACTGTTGTCATAAATTAGTACAAGAAAAAACAAAAATGTGAAAAAAACAATATATTAATTGTATAATTTATATAAATAAATTTATTAATAATAATTTATTTGTCTCTTAATTTTTTAACAAATTGAATTAATCAAATATTTGACCACTTCTTAAAACTGTCAAAACAAACAATTTTTTTGGGTCATTTTGTGTACTGTTTATTCGCAGTATCAAGCTGAATCATACCATAATAACATCGCGGGGATTTTTCTGAAATCCACACATTATATAAATCTCTGCTGAGTTTAAATTAACATTAGTTTCTTTTGTAATGTTACTTCAATCACTACCAACCAATTATGGTGTTTATCGCAACAAATGAAGAGCAAAAACGTAAGAGTGCACTTATGATAACCCTAAAAAAGATAATTTGTTTTAGAAAATAAACAAAAGGTGATCCTCGACCTCAAAATCATTGCATATTTTCTCGTTATATTTTTGGCTATGTTGGCTACTATTTTCGCTTTTTCGGCCCTTAAAAATCATCACAATGTGGCCAGCGACGATTTTTTAATCCTCCCATACGACGGATGGCCAACTTTTTTCAACCGAGAACAATGGGGTGCCAAACCTGCACTTAACCAAACCCAACTCCAACACCCAGTGGATTTAGTAATAGTCGCACATACCGTCACCACATTTTGCCGGAATTTCGAACAGTGTTCAGAAATTATTACATCTATGCAAAATTATCATTTCAATTTAAAAATGACAGACATTGGGTATAATTTTCTAATTGGAGGTGATGGAAATATTTATGAAGGACGAGGTTGGGATTTTGTTACTTTTCAAAATAATCACTCGATTAGTGTTAGTTTTATCGGTAATTTTCTGGCGGATGAGTTAAATTTATATATGATTGATGCTTTTCATCAACTGATGATTGACGGTGTTAAAGAAGGAAAATTGAGTAAAGATTATAAAATAGTGTGTCATAATCAAACTAAAGCAACGTTAAGTCCAGGTGAAAATGTGTATAAAGTGGTGAAAATGTGGCCGCATTTTCGCCCTGGAATATTACAAAACTAATCTAACAACTAGCAGTGTTAACTCGATTGACCTTCCATCAATGCATCAATGTTGATACAAGATATTTTTTTTTTAACAAAATAATGTGTATTTTGTTAATTGATGAATTTCAATTCAAACCAGTCGAACAAGTTTCACGTTATGAATAAATATAATATATCCATGTTTAACTGTGATCAGTGGCGTTGCTTTTGTAAGCAATAAAAAAATCTTAAAAAGCTAAACCAAAATTCTAATGTTGACATATTTAGCTTTAATACCTTCAATAATTACTAAAATAAATTCATTACAATACAATGATTTTTTTTATTGCATTAGTGACACGCAAACGTGAACAACCCACAAATCAATATTTATTTTTAATTAAATGAAGATAAACAATGATAAAGTTGTTAAAGCAATCATTTTGAGTTACTTATTGTGGTTCAAAATTCTGCAAAATTTGCACCATGCAATTCGACGCTCCTGCCTTCATGATAATACGCAAACCTCGTTGTTTATGTTAAAAAGAAAGTTGCACAGTCGCAGTTGAATCTAAACTCTGATAGTGCTATGTTCGTGTGATATGTTCCATCTATGGGTGCCAAAGCATCGGTGATTTGAACGCTTTTTGGAATGCAATCTCAAGGAACACTCGTTTACCCATTAACCAGCGATGGCGAGGATAATGTCAGTACTTCTTCGGAGGATGACAATGAATGTGATGGTGCTGTCGTCTTGCATCATAATGACAAACCGGATTTACCGTCGTTTGGCAATATCTCGGTGATGAACTCTAATGATATTCATTTTGGAAATAAAACCTTCTATCAAGGGCCAGTGACAATTAAACAATTTTTGTACGCGAATGGTACATCTAGTAGTGATAAGAGTGATAATAATGAAGTTGTGTTAGATCCGACAACACTCTCCAATAATGGAATTGATAATACGAGGCTGGTGAATGATATTGCGTCGGAGAAGACGAGTGAGGCCAATAAAACCGCAGTGCAGGAAAATAGTTCAGGAATTGTTAAAGGTAATTGCAACTAATCAGTGATGTTAGTATTAATTATTTTAATCGTATTAATACAATAACATAATTAAACAGAATTACTTATTTGTCTTTGTTTACAAAATGTAAGAAGGAGAATTCTAAGAAAAATTGATAATTTATATTTATCACTTTATCACACGTTATGTCTCAATCAAATCAATTTTTTTTTCAAAATTGAAAGTACAAAAAAATAACATCTTTAACCATAACCAAATATTCAAAATTTTAAAATCAATAACTTCAAAAAAATTGAAAAAATAAGCTTCTTGCCCAAAATGTAGTTCTAATTTTTTATAAAAAAAAACAAATTGCAATCAAACGTCTGAACGGGCTTATCGTACATTAACTTTTAACAACAGAATAATTTTTAATTCGCCTTCTATGTATAAACCGAGCCTTAATTTGTACATAATTTGTTTACACTATATAAATATTTTTCATTTTTCTCCGAATTTTAGATTATATTTTATCTAATTTATTATTTTTATAATACAGTTGTGGTTTGTACAACATTTCTACATTCAAATTACTGCAACTTTACATCATTAACAATCATTTTTAATAAAAAAATTAAAAAACCCAAATAAAATAGCTTTCATTAATGTTGATTCTTTGATAATAATTGGAAAACATATCTGCATTTTTTTGCACTATCCACAACTATATTATTATCTACTAAAAACAAACATTTTTATTTATTTACTATTGAAAAGACATTAAACATCTTTTACGCTCTTTTTACGTCAATAACAACTTGAAAATAATATAAAAACATAACAGATGAATGGAAACGAAAAATAACTTACATTAGGCTAAATTATAGTTATCTAATGTGGATATTTTCATTTCCTTTAATTATACTTCAATTTAGTTTCAGACCTTGATTGAGTTTATATTTCATATACGCATATATTATTCAACATTGATTGAAATATTATTACAATTAGTGTTAATTAATAACATAAGCAATTACTTTAATTAATTTTTTCATTTAATTTTTTTCCAGGATTTCGACGATTACAGAAACTCTCCCAAGAAAACGTTGTGATTCTAGTCAGTCTTCTAACAGTTTTAATTGTCTCATTAGCTATTCTCATGATTGTGTTATTATTAAAACATAGTTCGAATAATTCCATCGAAAATGACCAAATAGCCAAGGGAAAACCGGACGAACAGGAGAAAAATACACCAGTCGACTCGCCATTAGGTAAAATATTTTTTAAATCTCTCCAAAAAACAGACCTTGCTATTAAAGTGGGTCATAGAATAATAATTAGTCTTACTACAATCACTTTGGTTTTTCCGATGATATACTCGAATACGTACCTCCGCTATTTTTTATCTTTATTCTTTACCAACAAAAAAAATTACAATAATTCGTTGTGTATTTAATTTTTACGCAGTTTTAACCAATTTAAATAAAAAGTTATTATCTTTAAAGGTAGTAGAAGTGACAATATAATTTCACAGAAAAATCAAACGTCAAGGCTATGTTTATTATTCAAAGGAAGGACGACTTATATGCTAGTGCAATGTTAAATATTTTACAGTTACATATTTAAAATAGAATATTTATTTTTATCTAATTTCACAAAATAAGTAATTACATGTTTTTATATTTTTGGCAAAATATTTAGTGTCTAGGTTAATAAAACAAGATAAGAACACAATGACAAGATATCTGTAATAAAATAAGATATTTTTATTGTTCAAGTTAGTCAACATGGTTTTTAAAGCGAGGTGATCCACTGAACATCCTTGTTTATCTTTTTTTTGTTTTTTTTGTTTCAGACTCCAAGGGAAACCTAACCCTTCCCCCCAAACTAAAACTCGTCTCCCGTCTCGAATGGCTCGCCCAACCCCCAGTCCAACCCGCCAACCCTCTCCCCGTCCCCGTACCTTACGTCATAATCACCCACACGGCCACAGAAAACTGTTCTTCACAAGCTCAATGCATCTTCCACGTCCGTTTCATCCAAACATTTCACATCGAAAGTAGAAGTTGGTGGGACATTGGATACAATTTCCTAGTGGGCGGCGATGGAGAAGCTTACGAAGGCCGAGGATGGAAATCGGAAGGGGCGCATACGTACGGATACAACGCCAAAAGCATCGGAATTGCCTTCATTGGCACTTTTAACAGTTTCAAACCGCCAGAGAGACAGATAACGGCTTGCAAACAGTTGATTGCGAAAGGGGTGGAATTGGGGTATATACGAAAGGATTATAAGTTGTTGGCGCATAGACAGCTGCAGACGACGCAGAGTCCGGGGGCGGCGCTCTATGAGGATATGAAAACGTGGGAGCATTGGGCCAAAACGCCGTGATTTTGATTCATTTTTGTGATTTTTTTACACACCAAGACTGATATTTTAGTTAGAAAAACTGAATAAAAACAGAATATTATTGTTTAAAGGCATTTTCACATGCGTTACAGACACTATTTTTTCAATTTAAAAGAACAAAAACTACAATTTTTGCTTACAATTTTCCATAACATCATAAAAATTCACTATTCATTCCATGTGAAGCTTGAACACAACCCAAAAACACCATATTTACCCACTTTTAGCACAACACATCATTTTTAACATTTATAAAAATCAAATACCAAACGACTTTCTACTTGATTTCTTAATTTAAAAATTTATTACAAATGCACATGCGTACGACTTTAAGGTAGATAACCGTAGATATTTTTATCTATTTTAAAATCTACCGACATCAAATTTTTACCTCAAATTTGCAAAAATTAAAGAAAAAAAACTTACCTGAAGCATGAGCACCTGAAAACCGGCCACAAACACCACTTTTTAGTCAGTTTTAGCACAACATAGGATTTTTGACTTTTCTAACAATAAAATACCAACTTGCCACTTGATTTTTTTGAATAAAACTACTGCGCATGCGCACGAGAGTAACACGGATATTTTTTTCGAACTTGAAAATTTCACCTTAAATTTTAAATATTTCTGTACTAGTTTTTAAACAGTGTTCTTTAAAAGCAATTTTGTTTGCATTACAATATTGTTTTTTTTTTCGACGGTTGCTCAGGTTAGATGCGAAAGACAGAAATTAAAATTTTTGCTTCTAATTTAGAAAAATTAAAAAAGAAACTTACTTTTTAGTCAATCTGAAGCATGAGTACCTGGAAACCGACCAAAAACACTACTTTTTAGTCAATTTTAGCACAACACAGAATTTTTGACTTTTCTAACAATAAAATACCAAAGCCGACTTGCCACTTGATTTTTAAAAATAATACTAATACGCATGCGCAAGAGAAAAAGTGATTACCTCATGAAATTTATCACAAGTGTAATCTTTTGAAGTTTTGTAAACCAAGTGTTGCCCAACATTCAAAAGAAATCGTCTAGAATGTTATTTTTTTAGTTTTTGCGTTTCCTGTGGCGGTAATTTTTAAACAATCAATCATAAAACTAAACAAAAGTGTTAGTAATTTCAGCGCTGCCAACATATTGTGACCATAAACAAAAATAAAAAAAACTCGTTGTGTTATTTTTGAACAGTATTAACCAGTTATGGGGTAATTACAATGTGATAAACGATTCACCGGCTGTTTTACAGTGTTTTTATATAGTTTATGCAAGATTTTAACGAAAGTGTATAAAAAAGTGAGGTTATGTAAGTAAGATTGTGTTGAGGGTTTTTATCCAAAAACCTGGATTAGAGTTTTTTACGAAAAATGGTAATAAACCGTGGCGATATGAAACGCAAACGCCGCGACGAGTGCTCATCCCCCTTACTCGACGAAAGCCCCAAAAGGTTAGTTGTCTCAAACCCCCAAACCAAACTTAACGCTTTATATTTAAGGACTAAAGTGCACGCCCAACGTAAATTCGCCCAAGGTTCCAACGTGAACAGCCCCGTAATCACCCCAGTCAAAGAAATCGAGAAACAAGAAGTTGACGTTCTCCCCGAACCCGTCGAGCTTCTCCCCATCAAAAGACCCAACACTGAAGACTTTTTAACGTTTTTGTGCTTCCGTGGGACCCCAATTCTCCCCCCAAGCTTGAATTTCTTCAACACAGCATCGATAGTGGACACCAATGGTCAAGTCCATGAAATCAAGAGTGAATCCCCGAAAAACGGCCCCATTGACACCTCTGCGATCGCAAAAGCGGGCACGGGGTCCTCTGAACGGCCGTTTATCGCTTTTGGGGTCCGCAAACGCGCAGACCCCATCGTAATCAGCCGACAAATGGACAAAAAACGGCGTCATGCTCTAGCATTGCAAGCTTTGAGGAGGAAATACCAGGAGCAAAGAATGGCGAAAATTCGTGCAGTTACCATAAGTAAATTGTCGGAAAAAGTCGCGAGTAAAACTCTGGTTAGGTCGAATTCAGTGTCGAAAACCGAAACGGTTAAGAAAAACGCCACGATTCAGAAAAGTAAAGTTAGCGTTGAGACGAAACAAGTGAAAGTTGCAACGCGTTCGGTTAAAACCGCCTTGCGGCCGCAGATTAAACAAAAAATGTGTTTGCGTAGTTTCAGAGGGAGGTTTGTGCAAAAAGAATTGCAGTTTAGAAACGTGAAGAAAAGGCCGATGCCACCGGTTAAAAAACCGATTAAAAAGAGTGAAGAATCGAGTGAATATTCGTCCGATGATGATAAACCGCTTTCGAAAACGTCGCAAAATGCGAAAGTGGTTCCGAAAGTGGCGAAAAAGTCGGCCCCGGGACCCAAAAAACCAATAGAAATCAAGTATGTTTTTGTTTTTTTTTTTTAATAAAATAACTTTCATTTTTTGTTAGTTTCAGAATAACGCGCTCGAATAAGTTTTTGAATAACAAAATGGTTTCAAGACGACAACAGATTAAACAACGAATGTTGTTATCAACACCGAAAACAACAGTCAAGCCTAGAACTTTAAGATCGCAAACTGCTCAAAAATCGAAGATCGAGACAGCCAAAAAAGTTTTAATCAAAAGCAAAGAAAAGAAAGTAAAGGAACTTGAAACGAAAAAAGAAATGAAAAAGTCTGATCGTTTGAAAAAAGAATTGGAAAAACCACCAATTGTCAAAAAAGATGTTGATAGTGGGAAAAAAGCTAAAATCATTCCAAAACCAACGCCAAAAAAAGAGGAAATCTCAAAAGACATAAAGAAGAAACCTGTAATGAAGAAAACTGCTCAAAAACCGCCTGAAAATCCAACACGCAAAGACTCGACTAAAAAAACAGATGAAGAGAAAAAAATCGACAAAACACCCGAATCAAAAGAAAATCTTGAATCGAGAACATCTCAGAGACCGACTCGAAAAACCAAAGAAGCTGCTGCCATCTACATGGAAATTCTTAGTCACAAATTGGTGAATGAGAGTCGACTCGACGACGATAATGTCTCAATTGATAGTTTCCCAGAATTGCCAAATGTGAAAAAAACCGAACAGAGAGAAAACGAATTGAAAGCGAAAGCAAAATCAACAAAAACATCTGAAAGTGAAAGTGATACGAAAAAAACCCCAAAGAAGGAGGTGGAGGTTGAAAGTAAGGTTTTGAGGTCTGGAAGTGAGAAGAAGAAAGAAGTGAAGAAAGAAGTAAAAAGTGAAGAACCGGTTTGTGATCGCAAAACACGATCAGCGGTTGCCTCACCCTTGGAACTTAAAGTTCACATAAATGCGATTGAGGTCGCTTCAGAGAAGAAGAAAGAGAAGAAATGTAAAGATGATGAAATTTCAGTTTCAGATATTTCAGACAGCAATTTTAAAATGAAAGATAAAAATGGAAAAGCGGATGAAGGGACTAAAAGACAAACTAGAAACTCGTCCCAAAACATCAGACATTTGGATACTGATGATTCCGATGAGTCATTTTGGGCCGATATAAGAATACCGAGGAAAAAACAAATAACCAGAAGTAAAGTCTCAAAAAATTGTGACAGTGAGAACGATAAAAACTCTCTAAAAAAATCATTAAGAACGAATTCGAGGAGTTACAGAGAGTGTAGTTCGAGTGAATCTGACCAATCCACCACTTCGGATGTGAAACCTACAATAATTAATAAAAATAAAAAATTTACAAAAACAAGAAGTCAACAAAAAGAGGAACAAAGTTTCAGCGATTCGGACGAAGAACCACTTTCAAAGTTAACACAAAATAAAACTAGTGATAGTAAAGATGTTGTAGTTAAGGAAGAATCTAAAACTAGTAAAGTTTGTAAAGAAAATGAAGAAAAAGAAGCAAAACCGAAACGCGAATGCGCTAAACGCCCCCAAAACTATCTCCCAATGTTTTCATCATCAGACGAAGAAGAAAACTACTTTCAAGGTTTCAAACCAAAACTTGAAAAACCTAAAATTACTAAACTTCCATCACCTGGCTGTTCACACAAAACCACTGTTGACCTTAAAGACATTAGTCGACGTTTCGGTAAAGAAAAAGTCAACATGTCGACCGAACAGATCGAAAAGTGGCTTAAAGATTCTGCCATGGCTGGAAATAGTGTCAAAAACGAAAATGACGCCATGTTGAAATTCGGCGAAAAAATACCAACTGAAACTTCACACAGTGTTGCCAATTCCATCGATACAGAGAAACTCAAATCGTTGCTTATTACCAACATTGAAAAGAAAAAAGTGTCACTGAAAAGCCCACCGAGCGAAATTAAAGTCAAACCGATAATCACAGATCGGAAATTAATCTTCCGAAATAAGGATAAAGTCGGGATTGTGGGGGTTTCCCCGAACGTTAATGCCTTTTCCGTCAGTAACGAAAGTAGTGTTTATGCTTTCGGTGAGGAGGAAGACATGATGAAAACACCCTTCAGAAGGCCGACACGAAGGCCTTCAAGTACCGCCACTTCAAGATCAGAAGACGAGTCTTCAAAATTTGAAGAATTTTCCAAAAGTGGTGGTCAATTCCGGAAGCCCTCACTGGTCAAACAAGATTCCGAAGATAATTTACCACTTGGTAGCACCGAAGATAGCCCTTTCTATATCCCGCAAAGAGTCTCGAAACCAAAAAAATCAATGGTACCACCAAAACCTCCCCTCAAACAAACCCCCAAATCGTGCAATTCCGACGTTTCGGAAGAATTTAAATACAAAGTTCCAAGTTCTCCAAGTGCTAGTTCTTCATCTAGTGCTAAATTATACAAACGACAAGGAACTAAACCAAAACTCCGGGCCAGTGAAATGATTCCGGTTAAGCTCCCGGATTTTCCAATAAATAGTGCACAGTTAGTGGAAGCACCCACTTTTCATCCTAGTGAAAAGGAGTTTCAAGATCCTTTAGAATATATCGAGAAGATTCGACCCAAAGCCGAACAATTTGGTATTTGTCGAATAGTACCACCTAGTACTTTTAAACCAGAATGTAAAGTCACTGATGATATGAGATTTACTGCATATAATCAATATGTTCATAAAATGTTACATCGATGGGGGCCGAATTTCAAAGAGTTGATGGCGATTAAAAAGTACCTCTCGACGCAAAATATCAATTTGACTCATCCACCATGGGTTAGTGATCACTTTTTGTAATTGAAAACTTAAATCTCTATTTTGCATCAGAAAGATACCAAAACCGATGTTTTAATGAGTCATTTCAACACCATTTTGGGTGCTGAAATAGACTAGTACAGTTTACTTTCTAGAGGTTGGTAATTGTGATTTTCAGTAGCGTTTTGAGCGATTGCTCTTATTTTAATTTGCAGTATTCATTGTTAATTCAGCACTTCATTTTCGAATTTTGTGACATTTATTACCAACCACCATCTTATTAGGACAAAAGTTCCTAAATTTTGATTGTGCGCAAAGTAGAAAAAATATTTTTTAATATACTATTTGCAGATTGGCGGTATGGAAATCGACTTGCCACGTCTTTACCAAACCGTGCAATCCCTTGGCGGTCTCAAAGAAGTCATTGAGAAAAAAAAATGGCCCAAAGTTTCCGATCTTATGAAAATACCAAAGTCGGCACAAGACAGAGTTACAAAACTAGACGATATTTATTGTAAATATCTCTTACCCTATGACACTTTATCACCTGCTGAAAGAGAAAAACTGTTTGATGAAGTCGAAACTGAATGGGCAAAACGCGAGTCAAAATCACTTTTAAAAGCCCAACAAAACATCGACGATAACAACACCGAAATCGAATCGGAATCTGACGATGAAGCTGAAGAATGTATCGTCAAAGGTCGAAGTATGGCCTTGAATGCGTTTTACCGAATTGCAAGAAATACAATGAGTATGTGGTTTAGGACTTGCGAACCGCCGGCTGAAGAGGTAGTTTAAAATACTCGGCTTTGCCTCGTACATTACTTATTTTAGGTTGAGCAAGAGTTTTGGAAACATGTGACTGTGAAACAAAATCATATTTGTGTCCATTCGGGGTCTATCGATTCCGGGAATTGGGGTTATGGGTTTGCTGTTTCGAAAAATAGCCCCTTTGCGAGACACGCATGGAATCTTAAAGTACTAACAAATAATAGTGGATCAGTATTAAGGTCTATGGGTCCAGTCATGGGTACGTTTTTTTATTTTTTTTCACTAGTTAAATGAATTTTTTAGGAGTCACAGTACCAACCTTACATGTTGGAATGGTGTTTAGTTCGTGTTGTTGGTACCGTGACCCTCATAGCCTACCATGGATCGAGTATTTGCACACTGGGGGTAACAAAATCTGGTATGGTATCCCCGATTCGACTAGTGGGGCTTTTCACACCGCTTTGAAAACTCTAGTACCGAATTATTGCCGCAATAAGAGTCTCTGGTTACCATCGGATACAGTAATGGTACCACCGAATCTCCTAGTCGAAAATGGAGTCTCATTATCACGAATTGTGCAAGAACCAGGACAATTTATTATAGTCTTTCCTAAAGCATTCACATCGAGTTTGAGTACCGGTTATGTGGTATCTGAAAGTGTCTATTTTGCGCCTTCCTATTGGCTGAAAACCGGTAGACTTGTCTTTAACGAAATGCGAAACAGTTGCGAACCTTCAATGTTTTCATTTGATCGGCTTTTGTTAAGTATAGTCAATGATGCGAGGACAAATGTGGAAGTTTTGAAACAGATTATACCATCTGTTCAGGAACTTTGTGATAAGGAGAAATCAGCAAGAGAAAGGGTTAAAAATTTAGGAGTTTCAGCTACGGAAAAACTGCCCCTACCTGATGCACCCAAAAAGAAAAAGAAGCTTCATAACGAAGATGGAGAATATGAGTGTGAAATATGTCGAATGAATCTTTTTGTTTCAATGGTAAAAAAGTGACTTGACTTGACCGAGTTTGATTTTTTGAGTTGTAGGTAATTGAATCACAGGAGGACTTGGTTTATTGTCTAGATCACGCAGCCGAACAAATTGAACAAAAGAAAATACAAAACAAAAATTGTACGTTGAATTTTACGTACGATGATGAGGAATTGGATGGATTAGTGGATAAAATCAAGACGGCGATTTCTAACAAACTGCAAAAGAAAGTACCTAACAAATTTACAGGGTTGCCAACGTTACTCAAATAATTTCGCAAATATTTTATTGTAGATTGATGTATTATTTTTTGTGTGGATTTTACTTTACATAAATAATTTTTAAACATATGTAACTTAATGGTAACTGTGAAGTGAATAAGGTTACGAGATCGCGCCAACTATAACCATCACATTTCCACACATAATAGGCTTAAATTACACAATATCACAAAACATATATACAAAAGTATTAAATTAAAAAATGCTTAAGTACTAGCCCGTCAAAAGGCGTGACTACCTGTCCCGATTGCGTAAAATGTCAAACAATACTTGTGTGTCATTTTTCTCGTCATTATCACTCGACACGTGTCCGTCTTCATTGACTATCAAATGCTCACCTAACTCGCGTCGCTCGTCGTGCATTTCATACACACGTGCCATTTTTGCGGTGTGTCTCAATTTGTGGAACACGTGACACGTGATACCCGAGAGACAGATGAGTAAACCGACAACGTTGATGAGCGAAAGTTGGTCTCCGGTCCATTCAACGGCTAAAACTAGGATAAAGACTTCTTTAACAATCCCAGCGATGGAGAGAGTGAGACTTGAGGTGTAACCCACCACTAGGACTTCACAAACTTCCATGAAAAACGCAATAAAGGCCCCTACAAGGATTTTGAAAATCAGTGTGATTATTATGGAGGTGTCTGTGGTGCGTATGATTTGACAGTTTTTGATGATTGTGGGGCCCTCCATCCATATGGCCAATGGGAGGACTGAGATGATCATCCATGGTTGCATATGGTAGATCATGTCAATGGGGTTTCTCATCCCGATTTTGGACTTTTGGAGGAGGAGTTGGACACAAGTCCATCTCACACCACTCGACATTGAAGCCAATAATAATAAGAGAAATCCCAAAGTGTCAAATTGGGTTGCTTTGTATGTAAAAAGGATTAATCCTGTTGTGATCATTCCGACGATAAATGCCAAACTCCAGGACTTTTTCTCAAGCTTAAATAACATCGAAAATCCCAGAATAAACACAACTGTTGTAGATTTCGTCATTGTGTACCTAAAAAATTCACGTAATTAGTCTCTAACTGTGGTTTATTTATATCCTCTTGTGTTAATGTGCATCAAGTAGGTTGAAGGCATTTAATTTGACAAAAAATTTGCATGGTTGCCACCTTAAAATCCGTTTCAACGACTACTTGATGCACATTAACAGGAAAATATGCTCACAATGACACTTTGATGAGTTCCAAGCCCCAGTTAGAGAACCCAATATCAAGGCCACTGAAAACCCCCATGGGGGCCACTGCGACCAAGTACTCCCTCCACTCTAACATAACCCTTTGTTTTCCTTGTTTCCGTTCCAACACAGCCCTGATTATGACTGCTAGTAAGAATTTCACAATCATGTGAACCAAAACCGTGACTAACGGAAAATGGAATGTCTGAAACTAAAACTGAATCAATTTCTTCACAATCGTGACACAATACCTGGAAAAGCCATCGCTGATAGAACGTCAAACATATGGAAGGAATGTAATAAGTTCCAATCAGAATACTTGTAAATAAACTCGACCAGAAGCAAGCACTATTGAAAAATCCACGTTTTTTCTCTTCGAAATCACTCGGGGGCTCATCGTCGCTGTCCACAGCTTCGTATTTAAATTTTTGTCGGCCCAACATCTTGTTTACATGTTGACAGTGTTTTTATCATCGGTGATAAAAAGTGTGATAAAGCCACATTTTACGTGGACGTGGTATAAATGCACTTTTTTGGTTTGTTTCACTTTTTTCCTGGTTTGTGACAAATTTTGACAGGATGAATGGGTGACGTTTGGTTGGAATGTCACTAATTGGGAGCAAAGTCCCTAAAATTTTAAATAAATTTTCCTGAAAACTTACTCTTAAATGGGCACTGAATTCAAGACTGTTACAAAAACAGTTAGAGTTTTAGTAAAAGTGTTTGTAAACAAATTAATACAAATGACCGAAAACCGTTAAAATGTAAATGATGTAATTTTCGCAATAAAACTGTTAAAATACTTGAAATAAACTGTTAAACAATCATTTCGTTTTCCTATTATTGAGGAAGGACATGACTAAAATGTTTGTTTCTTAATTGATTAATAATTATCACAAGTTTATTTGTTTGGAAAACCAAACCTCTTAATTTGTCAATAAAGTTTATCAACACACGCTATACATAACTTTTTTTTTCTTTTTTTCTCTACTATTTTCTACCTCCTCAAGTCTGATTTTTTTAGTTCCGTCTAAAAAGACCCATTTACTGTTTTTTCTTATTTTTCATTTAATTATTTGTAGTTTTTTTTTACTTCATTTTATCTTCTACCGCCAATTTTCCCTTAAAGTACATTTTCCTAATTTTTTTATTATTTACTTTCCCAAAGCTTATTTTTTCAATTTCTCTACGACTTTCTATCGCCTCAAATCTGATTTACTTATTTATTATTTTTTACAAGGATTTTTTCCTGACTCTTTTTTTCCTGTTTTAATCTAAGTTAGATATTTTTTTGTATTTTGTAAGCTTGGTAATTTACCCCAATTTCTCTACTATTTTCAATTTTTTATCAAATATTACTCATTTTTTACTGTTTTCTCTTACGTTTCATTTAATTATTTGTCATTTTTTACTTTATTTATCTTCTCCGGCGAGTTTTCCCTCAAAGTGCATTTTCCTAAATTTCTTTTATTTATTTTTTTATTATTTTATTATTTCCTCAAAGCTTATTTTTTCATTTGATTTTTTTAGTTCCGTTTAAAAAACTGTTTTTTATTTTTTACTAAAATTCATAGATATGTACATGAAAACTATGTAAAACTTTTTGTAATTATTGTATAAATAATCTTTAGTTTATTAATTTGGAATAAAAAGAAAAATGTTTGGGCATTTTTCATAATAAAACATAAATAATTTATATAAGGTGACTGTAAATGATTGTGTCTTTTCTCGTGTAGTTGACCAAATTCATATAGCAGTTGTGATTTCAAAAATAACAAATGCCTTAACACAAACGTCGTCAAGAATGCTTAGAAAGTGAATTATTTTTATGAACGTAAACAGTGTTGCCATTTCGTGACAGTCATTTACAGTCACTAGGTTATGGTCAGTGTTGCCAAATTTACACCAATTTTCAACAGAGATTACAAGATTTGTTAGGTAAAAATATATATATTTTATAACAATTAGTAATTTTTGACTCAGTATGGCAAAATCTCACAAAAATGGCAAAAAGAACATAATTTTCGGCCTAATTCTGTAGTTTTTCGGCTTGTTTTTAACAAAATTTTGCGTTTCCAGCTGAAAAACGTGCTAGAACGCTCGAAAAAAAATGTTTACTTAATTTGTAGATTTTTTGGTTTGTTTTATCGAAATCTCATGACAAACCTGAGATTTTAATATAAAAACCTACTTAAAAGCATTTTCGACCAAATTTTATAGTTTTTTCGGTCTAATTTTGTCTTAATGTTATTCAAAAATCAATTAAATCAAGTGAAACAAACAAAATACCATCAATATCTGCACTTTTTGGAATTTTTAGGTGTGTTTAAACAAAATTTTGCAAAATAAATGAACCTTTGATTAAGCGAAAAAATACTATTAATTAGATTTAATTTTGTGATTTTAAACAAAATTTTGCAAAAAATTGTGTTTCTAGCTAAAAAATTATTTTTGTAAAAAACAAACCGGACCAATAATTTTAGGTTGTTTTTTTTCAATTATGTATTAATTTTTTGTTCCAAAAAATCGATATTAGAATTTTTACAATAGTTTTCAAGTCACTAGACCAACATAAAAATCACCAAATTTGGTGAAATTTCAGCAGATCTGGCCACACTGGTCTTGAATAATAACGTCAATAGCTGTGTTATCTGTCAAATTTTTGGGCAATCGTTGCATCATTACTCTTTAAATAATTTGACATTTTATTAAACACTCGATTAAACAACAATTTAAGTTGTCACAGCACTCTTGATCACGTTTTTATTTTGAAAGATTGGCAGTAATACAGTGTCAATTTTTGCCACAATCATTTACAGACACCCGGTATATGAATAATTTTAATGGGCGACATACATACAAGATTTTTTCTTTATTTTAACAATAAAAAATTATGAAATTCCGTTGAATCACTTAATTACAATCTATTTTGACTGCCAAAGTAAAGAAAAAGCGGTCGATTTTTGATGGAAATTAAGGATTTTTCGTAAAAAAAAACCTGACTATATTTCTTATGGTATATTTACATTTATACGCCTTGTATCAAACAAAATTAACATTAATCTTCGCCATTCTTTAAAAAATTTAAACATTTATCAACAATAATTCGTACAAGTCCACAGTTCAATTAGCCCTATTGTGCCTATTCCTATGTTGCCCGCCCCTGGAGCCCCTCTGCCTCTTCTGACTATCCTGCGGGGGGCCTCTATTCGTCGCTGGCGCTGTCTTGATCGGCCCCGCTGTGTTGTTCATCAACGTCGTCGCGGTGGTAACCGGTGCTGGGGGCCCTATCCTCCCAGCCCCATTATTCGTCCCATTGTTCAACGGGAGGTTATTCGGGGGCCCACACACTGGGGGCGCCTGCGGGAACGCCTGATTGGGCTCACTCATATTCAATTGTTCGTTGAAAACCATGCAAAATTCTCCGATTTTCTGCAAATCGCCCCCTTTCGAGGTGTAGAGAGTGAGACAATTGCGCCAGATGGAGAGGTAGCCCTTGGTGAGTCTCACAATGTCTCCGGGGACTAAAAGTTGTCCCGCTTCGTCCCACACACTCGCGTTTATACACGCCGTTTGATCGGCCACTTTGAAAGTTCGAACTTCGCGGTTTTCTTTCGTCACTGTTGGGTGGCCCACCTCCAACACGATAAACACTACGGCTATGTTTTTCAAGCCTGGACGCATGTCCTTGATTTGGACGTAGTTGCTGTCCATTTTCGGGGATTTTGGGGATTAGTGAGGGGGGAAATTGGATGGCATTTTAAGGAATGAAGAGATAAGGCGCATTTGATGGTACTTGTTCGAGTGGCCGATGTCAAATGACGGGGTTTTTGGAGCGGTATGGATGGCAGCGCTGGGAAGTGGCCGGCAAAGAAGGAATCTGCCGCGTTTTTGCTAGTTTTTTTATTCCACTAACTTTGAAATTTGTTTTTAAAACTTCAGTAAGTTTGGAGTTTTCATTTTGAGCGCAGTTCGACAAATTTGTGCAAGTTTATGTCAATCCAAAAAATGTCAGTGTAAGCCACGCTTTATTGTCATTATGGTTGACGTTTGAAACTAAAATTTGAAAGTTGAATTTTATTTTTGGCATCGATTTTCCGAAACTATAATCCCAGCAATGTGTTTTTTAATAAATTAGTTTAATTTGTTGTCATTTTTTCCTTTCCTAGAATAAAAATCATAAAAACCAAAAGTGAGGTTGGTTGCGTAAAGCCCGTTTTACATTTTTCAGTCAGTCGAATGACAAATCGTCCATTTTAAATTCAATTAAACCTGAAATTGGATTAAGATAATGACATAGGTTGTAACAGCAGCCAGCAACTGAAAAAATCTTTGTAAAACCTGAAAAAGCTTTTTTGTCTTCCGAGAAGCTTCAAATTTTGTTTTTTATTTTAAATAGATATTTTTCTCTTAATCTCAATAATTTTAACTTATTCTTTTATTTAATTACCTAGACTAAAATTAACGATAATCCAAATTCCAACATTTTTAAAAATTTCTTACGCATTTTTTAGTGAAATCGTTTTGTGGGATCAATAAATTGATTTTTTTATTTAAAATTTAGCACAATTTTTTCAATTTATCTGAAATCGTCCGTAAAGCGAACGAAATAATCCATCGGTGAAGTACTGTGTCTAAAAAACGCAACCTGCATTAGAAAAAATGTGTATAAATATTGCCTAAGTATGCGAAGTACTGGTGGCCGGTAAAGAAGGAATCTGTCGCGTTTTTGCTAATTTAAAAAAAACAAATTAGGGCGGAAAACATCAATTTGTTTTTTTAATCACTTTTTTATTCCACTAACTTTAAAATTTGTTTTTAAAGCTTGAATAAGTTTGGAGTTTCCATATCGAGCAAAATTTATGTCAGTTCAAAAAATGACAGTGTAAGCCATGCTTTATTGTCATGATTGACGTTTAAAATTTGAAAGTTCTAGTTGAAGCATCTATTTTCCGAAACTATAATTCCAGCAATGTGTTTTTTGAACTATTTTGATTTGTTGTCATTTTTTCCTTTCCTGTCAGAATAAAAATTACAAAAACCAAAAGTGAGGTTAGTTGCATAAAGCCCGTTTTACATTTTTCAGTCAAACGAACGACAAATCGTCCAATTTAATTTATTTAAATTCAGTTAAACCTGAAATTGGATTAAGATAATGACATAGGTTGTAACAGCAGCCAACATCTGAAAAAATCTTTGTGAAACCTAAAATTATTTATGAAAAATACCGTGTGGCTGAAAGTCCAGTCCAGATTGAAGAAATTTTCAGCTGTAAATTGTACCCGATTGTTGAGTAACCCAACTGAAATAAACTGAAGATGTCGCACGTTGCAATTAATTTCTCCTTTGACCTCACATCGATTCCAAAAATCGTGAATAAAAGTAAATGTTCGATTAGCCTACAAATAATTTTTTTCAAGTAATATTCAAAATCGTTTTTTACTTCATCTTGCGTCCGACTGAACATTCGCACCATCACCAAAAGCCACAAAACAAAGAAGAAAATTAAAACAACCAAAAACCAAAACACAATAAAATCAGACTCTTCTCTGTGTACCAATAAATTGATCATGATGTAAATCAAGTCAACTGTGCAACCAAACCAAATAACCATCGAAGCTAAAGTCACAGTACTGAAAACTTTATTGATTTCGAGGACCAAATCCACCAAATCGTGGTGCAAAAATGTCAAATCTTGAATTCTTCTGATTTGAAATTGCGTTTCAATTTCTTCCAATTTTTTAGTCGTCTTCGTCAAGGGAAAAATTTTACACAAGTCAACGCTTGTCGCCTCTTTCTCCAATTTCGCGTTAATTGTGTCAAAATAGCCACAAAAACGTTTTAAAATCTCACTGAGGAACAAATGATCCAAGCACCCCAATGTCGGAGGAATGCAGTAAAAAAACATAGCCCCAAATAAACTATAAACGTTAACAATTGTCAACACAATCCCCAAAATAATTTCAAGTAAATCAAAATTCTGGGTTTTTTTCATCGGTAAAATTCCCCCAAAATCGTTCAATTTCATCAAAAGCGATTTAAGTTTGTTGCTTCGAAAATAAAACGTTGTAATTATCACAATTAGAGGAACTAAACTTAAAAATGAAACCACTGAGTCCACACTGATAAAAAATATTTCTTTTGACTCCTGAAACTGAACCACGAACTGAAAACCCGAAAATAATAAAAGTAGATATAGAGGTAACGGCCACAAATGTGGAACAATTTTCTTGAAACGATGATTCCTGCTGTTGCAGGAAAATTGAATAACGCCAAAACACTTGAAAAAAATGCTGAAAAACAAGGGCAGGTCTTCAACTAAACACATTTTTGTTCCAAGTTGTTATAACGAAGATTGAATTATTTAGGGTGGTATTGATCTGTTTACAGCAATTCGGGTAATGACATAATGTATTAATTTGAAGATTTGTATTTTATTTAGTTTTATTCTATTTTTTAAATTTAAATAAATAAATAACTTTATTAATATCAGTGACACTACAAGGTGTACATATAATCTGTTTCATAATCCGTTGCTAGGAAACAGCTATGTCAAATAAAAAATTCGATATTTCATTGGTCCAGTTGCCTAGCAACTAGCACTTTATAACCAAGGTTATATTAAAAATTGTATAATTATGACGCAATAAGTGGCCAGTGCTGAAATTATCTGAAAAAAAATTAAAAAATTACAGAAATGTTTTTACCAAGTGACAAAATGTCCAGTCAAGTGTGAAAAAACCGTTGACTGTTAATTCCAATTTGGTGTGAAAAAATCGCATTGCGAGTAATTCGAGATGTCTTATTTTTGCATCAATTTTCCCTTGTGTTGTGTATTTGTTCCAGATTTGGTGCACTTGTGACGCAATTTTCCTCTCTTCGTTTAGTATTTGCGCAAAACTGTGAATCATCATAAAAAGCCAAAAAATCTCGTAGAGGATGAAAGCTAGAATCGAGAAAATTGTTCTCAGCCAAACAATTCTTAGTGTTATGAAACACAGACTGAAATAAATTGATACTATGAAATATGCGAACCAGAATAGGAATGTGAATAATAAACTCATTGTAAAATGTTTGATAATTTCGTTTGCCAAGTCCACGAGGAGGCAATAACGGTGAGAAGTGTTTTCCATTGCTTCGATGTCTTCGGAAGATTTGATTTGTTGGTTAATTGATTGGAATTTGGTGAAGATTAAAGTGAAAATGTCGTGGAGGAAAAGAGTTTCGAAGATGTAAACTGCGCCAGGGAAACTCGAAATAAATGCGGACGCAAATGGATGAAGAAGAAAAGGATATTGAAGAAAGTTTAAAGCAAATATAAGGACTAGAATAATTCTCATCCATTTGTTGCATGCAGTTTTGCCCAAATTTAATTTGTGTAATTTTTTTAACGAAGATTGTAAATTATTACTCCTCTTGTAGAAAAAAAACAGACTTGTGAACATATACAAGAAGTTAATTATCCTTTGAATCAAATTTCCAATCAAAATAAAATCCAATTTCGAACCATAAAACGGAATGGAAAGCTCGACATGGGCGTAAAAATAATAAATGTAAAATGGGAGGCACAAAAGTCGTCCAAAGATTTTCGAGTATTTTGATTCGGAATTATTGAGAGGAAATTGTGCGATTCCTAAAATTTTGTAAATGTATTGGAGAAAAAAAGGAGTGTTTGGAAGTAAATTCATTTTGGTCGAAGTTTGGTCAACGACTAAATAATCAATGAAAACACCACTTACAATTACTTGGTTGTTTATTTACCTCCTGTTTTCCACTTTTCTAACCAAAATAGAACCACACTTCTATTTAATTTCATTATAATGAAAGTATATTTAGTAATGTCTAAGACAATATATTTGAAAATACTACCTGAATGAAAATGAACAAAGTCAAAATAAGATTATGCAAATTAAAGTGTTTTCAAAATTTATAAACTATTATTGTTGTTTTTTTATGAAATTTGAACAATAAAAACGTTTATTCTTTAAAAAAAATTGACAATTTTTAAAGCTTATTTGTCCGGAAGTTTTCAAATTTTGTTTTTTATTTTTAATAAGTAGGTATGTATTTTTTTTAATCTCAATAATTTTTAATGACTTTCAGTAATTCTGAAACTTTAAACGCGTTCCTGTACGAAACTATAGGTCCTAGAGCAAAAAGCTAAAAACCATTAAAATTTGATTAAAACTACCTATCTAATGGCGCAAACCGGAAGGGTTATGGTTCCGGTTACAGAGCTAATAATACTAGTTTTTTCAAAAAAAAATTCATATCTCAAAAACTAGATCAAAACGGTTTGTACAAACCTATTATCCGGTTAAAGTACCAGTTTTTAATCATAATCAAAATTTTTTGATTTTTTGGTCATAATAGAGGCTTCTAGCCTCTATTCTTAACTTTATTACTCAATAWCTCAAAAACTATGCATCGTAGAGTATTTTAACATGTTGCATCGTGTTCAACGCGTAATTTTACGTCAAGAAAACCATATTTGAAGCGTTTTTACGACTTAAGGTAAATTGACTATTTTTACGATTTTACTACCGCTCACCTTCCAAAAACTGAAAACATTCGTAATTTTTTAAACTTTAGGACCTCTAGAAGTGTAAAAAATGTTATATGGATCAATTTTAGAAAGAATTTTTTTTTGATTTTTATTTTTTACCATATTGAAAATAATTCCGGACTTATTGATGATAGCTTCTTGTGTTTGGTACCGTTAGAAAGAAAATTTAATTTTCTATGGTATACAAAAAAATCAGTGTTCTAGGATAAATAGTTATTTAGAAAATTTCTGATAAATTTAAAAATATTGGAAATACCTATAAATTCGTCTATAACCTCAAATTTGTAGTTTTCTTGACACCAATCGATATATCCTAAAATTACAGCTTTGGTAATTTACAAAATAAAAAGATTAAAAATTTGTTAATACCCCCCGTTAAGACTTCTATTTTGTTGCTTTTTTTCAATTTTTTAAAAATTCCATTGTCTTTAATTTCTTTTCTTTTGTTTTAAAAATATAAACACAAGATAAACAAAAACTTTATTTAAATTGAATGAAAAATCATAATTTATAAAACACTTTAATTAAATTAAAATACAAGACCCTCAACACGTCATATAACTCCCATCCGGATTAGTCTTAGGCTTCGGAAAGCAGAGTTTTTCACTTCCATTAAACACGCAAGTATTTGTAAAAACCCCACAACTTGAAGACTGGGCATAGTAGACTTTAGGTGTTTTTTGTCCGGTATATGGGTTCTTAGACCCAGATTCCGACTTACTCAACGAAATAAAATTCGGTAAGGATTTTCCGCTCTTGACTTGGTAAGTGGCCGGTTGATAAGTGTATCCAGAACCAAAGCCTATATATCCATTTTGGTGCGAATTGGAAGTTACTGCGTAAATCGGTTTCTTGTAAATAATTCTTCCAGTCCCTGGTGTCAAAGTGACACTTTGTGCTTGCGAGTTTTTACCAGTTGCGTATGTGTTTGGTCCGTTTGCAATAGCTTTGACACGTCCTCGAAACCCAGCAGGAATTTGGAAGCCAGGAGAGCCGGGTATAGAATCGCCGGGTTGGAAGATGGTACCATCGGGAGGGTAACCGTAGCTTTGTTGAACTGTGGCATCAAGGTCTTCGAGAGGATCAAGAATAATGTGCTGGCGTTGCGTTTTAAATCCTTGAGAGATTATGCTCTTTGTCAAAGGTTTTTGGGTGGAATATTCAGAGTCGTAGTCGTAGTCATCGTCGTGGTACTCTTCAGTGGCTGTGTCTTCGGTTTCGTCAGAGATTAGTGCAGTTTGGTCTTCAGATGGTGCCTTCTGGGTTGCAACATCCATATGAATTGATTTTCGGCTACTTGGCATTACTAAATCTTGTGGTTTAGTCTTGGAATTTCTTCCAGATGTAAAATTCAAAGGTTTGAATTTTGGGAAGAATCCTGTTAAACCTTCAGGTCTTGACTGGTTTCGTGATAGACCTACTGAGTCTTTACTCCCCGAACCTGCTTGTGCAGCTCCTACGTATTTAATACCGTATTGAAATTTCCCCTGGATTTGGCTTTGAGCCTGTCCTGCATAAGTACCACTTTGGGCACTTGCCATTCCTCCTCCTCTAAAAGGCGTCGATTGATCATCCCTTTCATTTTCATCATACGGTGTAAATCCAATTTGAGCTTGTGATGAGGTACTTCCAGGTCCATTAGCTTGAGCATCTGCCATTCCCCCTTTTCCACTAGCCTGTACTTGTGTTTGAGAACCATGGTGCCATCCACCTGTTTGAGCATTTGATATAGTATCACCGCTTTCTGAAGCTAGTTGAACTTGTGCTTGACTTTGGCCTAAGCCTCCTCTTCCTTGAGCCGAGCTCAATGCACCTTCTTTTCCTCCAGAAACTTGTGATAATGCCCCTTTTTTACCATCATCACTTCCGGCTGAAGCACTAAATGAACCGGAACCACTATAAGTACCCGAAACTTGAGACTGGGCCATTCCTCCGGCATATTTTCCTTGAGCTGAAGCACTTGCTTGAGTTTCGTTGTTGATCTGTTGGACGGATGTTTGAACTTGAGAGTCCGCACCATCATCTTCTCCTAAAACTACACCGGGATATCCAGGTTGACCGTAAGCTTCAGGACTTGGAGGTGGAGCTGGTGCCCCGGGATAGCCGGTTGGATAACTTGGTTGAGCTGAACTTGGAGCTCCAGGAGTTAAAGCACCAGGATAACCTGCAGGTATTGGTACTCCTGGATAACCTGGAGAGGCTGGCACGAAGGGAACTGAAGAAGGTGGAGCTTCTGGATAACGAGAAACACCTGAACCTGGTGGTATTCCTGGGTAAGCAGAAGATGGAACTCCTGGATATGACACTCCGTTGTAATCAGTAGATGGAGTTCCTGGATAACTGGAAACACCTAAACCAGTGGTTACTCCTGAATGATCGGGCGTTGATATTCCTGGATAACCAGAAGTTGGAGCTCTAGGATAACTCAAACTACCTGTGCCAGTTGGTACTCCTGGATAACCTGGACTTGGAACTTCTAAATAGCTTGGAACACTTGGACTTGGATAACCTGCAGTTGGACCATGTGGTACTTCTAAACGTTGGACAGTAGTAGGTCCTCCTGGATAACCCGGTTTTGGTGCCCCTGAATATCCAGGAACACCCGATAAAGTAGGTTTTTCTGTATAACTCGTTCCGCTTGGAGGAATTGGATATTTGGGTGATGGATATCCTGGAAAACTTGGTTCTCCAGGATAACCCGGTATTCCACCATCAGATGTGCCAGGATAAGTTGCGGGACCTGGATAACCAGTTTGACTAGGATATCCGGGATATCCAGGATATCTAGAAACTGTAGGCTGACTTGGATAATATCTTCCATCAACAATTTTTCCATTATGATGAGCTTCATATTCTCCAGAAAAAATACCAGAAAATTTGCCCCTTTGTCCAACTTCTGCTTCATAATCCCCAGAAAGTTTTCCACTAAATTTTCCGTGGGTTTCAGAAGGTGGAAGTTGAGGTAGAGTGGGATATCCTACTGTTCCGGGAACTGGATGGCTAGGTGTTTCTGACGGATATCCGGGTTGTGATGGATAGCCCGTAGTCGAAGAATATTCTGAATAAGCTGGTCTTTCTAGATAACCAGGCCGTAAGGAATCTATAGGTTGTCCTGTCGCTGGATAACTAGGTCTAGAAGGTCCTGTAGGATACCGTGGAGAACCAGGATATGGAGAATAAACCGGTACTTTAGACCCAGTGGGTGGGCCAATATACCCTGATGTTTCTCCTTCTGGATGCTTCGAAAATACTCCACCTGGTGGTATCACTTCACCACGATATCCTGGTTGAAAAGGTATTACTCCTCCAGGATAACCAGGACGAACTGGTTCTTGAATTAATGGCACACCCCCAGGATACCCGGAAACTCCCGGTTGTGGGTATATAGAAATTCCGGGTCTTTCTTCAAATTTCCCAGGGTATCCGGAAACTCCTGGTTGAGCACCTGTTGGTTCTTCTTCAGGACTTGTTGGATATCGAGAAATTCCAGGTCTTACTTCTGGATAGCCAGGAATTCTGGGACTTCTTTCTGGCCCTTTTGGATAACCGGAAACTCCAGAAACTCCTGGTATTTTTCCTGGTCCTCCTGGATATCCAGTTCCACCGGGTAATCCTTCAGGAACTTTTGGAAAACCAGGTTTTACTTCTGTAATTTTCGGATATCCAGGAACAGCGGGTGTTCTTTCTGCTCCTCCTGGATATCCGAGTCTTTCGTCAAATCTCCCCGGATAGGGAAAAACTCCGGGTCTATGTTCTGGTCCTTCCGGGTATTTGGAAACTCCAGGTCTTTGTTCTGCACCTCCTGGATATCTCAGAACTCCGGGTCTTTCTTGAGTTTCTGTAGAAAACGAGGTTCCAGGCTTCTCGGGCTTGCGATACTGTGCTCCCGGAAATTCCGACGTTCCTCCAGGTCTTCCATAATAAAGCCCTTGTTCTTGATCAAATCCTTCGCCGTTACATTCTTCACAACCCACTGGAACACTCTGACTCTGAGCTTGACCCATTCCACTACTACCACCTATTTAAAAAAAAATCTTCAAAAATAATGTCAATTATAAATAACTATCTTCTTACTGACTACTGCCTTAGAACTTCCATAACTAGATTCAGCTTCAGCTTTTCCTAGATCTTTACTGTTACCAAAATTTAGATATTGTGACTGTGTTTGTCCTCTAACCCTTCCAACAAAATAATGTTTAGTTGAGCGTTTTTTTCTTGAGGCAATATTCTCGTTTAGAGTATCCTCAAAAATACTGTTTTGGTCGTTTGTTTTTAAATCATGTATGAGATAAGTGGGAAAACCCCGACAAAAATCCACAACTCTTTGCCCAGCTATTGTCCATATCTAAAAAAAAAATCACAAAAAACTCTTTAAAAAAAATTATTACTTGTCTTTTGGAAAGGTGATTTTCGGTCATAAAATATTTTTTTGTAACATTGTCCAGTCGTGGTTTATGATTTGTGTGACCGATAAAACTTTCGCTTCCTTTTAGAAATTCTATCAAACATCTTGACTCTATAAGATCTTTATAAGCTACTACTCTCTGTAATTACACAGTATAATTAATTTTTAATATTATTAATAATAAAAACTGTCTCACAGTTTGGTAATCAAACAAAGTTCGCGACTTTGTTGCTCCTTTATGTATCGAGTTGGACAAAGATAGATTTTCAGTATTAGAAACAACCTAAAAAAAATAATTTTAAAAATGTTTTATCTAACTTGTCCTAGAATTATTGACCCCAAAACATTACAAAAATTACAGATGATAATAATTACACACAACGATAAATTAAATTTTTTATAAATTAAACTGACAAACACTTCCAGAAAAAAGGCATTACAACATTTTATAAAAAAAAATACTTTAAATTTATCGTGTATTATAACAAATAGGATATAAAAAATTGAAAAAATTTTTTCTGGAAATTATTTAAAAGTGGCAAAATTTTTCTAAATTAGACACTTACCTCTGTTTTTTCCTGTAAAAAAATGCCTCCAAGATGAGCACTTATTATGATAAAAATTAAAATTAACCGCGCCATGGAAGTAAGTGACCGCAGGGCGGCCTATCAATAAATGCTGAATCTATTCCTGGTCAAGTGTGACCCCTGACATGGTGTCCCCTAGAAGATATCGTTGAAATTCATTTATATACAAAACAAGTTACACAAAAAGTAAGTCACTTCATCAAACGCAATTTGATCTAGCCATCCTCGACTCATATACAGCACGATTCAACAAACATTATTACATGCACTAAACATTATTACATAACTTTGTTTACGCATCCAACGAACTATCGTATTTTTAATATTGTCATTTTCAGATAACGAGTTAAGCAATGAAAAGAGTTTTTAACAAAATATTTCAATATTTGTCAAATTTTGAATTGTTTTTTGCCTCGCTGGGTATATGCGTTGCATTATGCATTCATAATTACGACAGAAGTCTACAAATTAACAACCACAATCAACATCTATCTTTTAATTACATGATGGGAAATTAAGTCTGACCTAAAATAAATCACCGTTTATGACCTATGACTAACTATTATGCAATTGCATAATTTTTATCTGACTCTATATTTACAAACAAATAACAATTGCGTACGAGAAGTTTTAGGACCAAATTTTCAATTTTCCACTGTAACATGTTTTATCATTTCTTATTATGTTTGATCTGATATATTAAAATAAAATTTAATACAGCTTAATATTTATACATACGCAAGAAATCTTTGTTTAAAAAGTGGGAAAGTCAAATTATACTAAAAATTCTAGTCTAGATAATCAGTTTGGTGTTTCTGTAACAGATTTCTGTAAATCTAAAATTATGTTCATTAGATTTTGTTTTTACTTTTTTTTTGTTAGAAAAACTTGTAAAAACCATAAAATAATTCAATTAACATACACGGTTTTCTGGGAATTGTTGCATTTTTAAAAATTGCAAAAATAAAACACAAGCATCAAAGCTTTCATCATCTCGGATTATATGCAAAATGCATATTTATTATTAAAAAGTATATCAACAAAATTGTAAGTTTTCTATGCATATCTAATGTTTTTTGATTAAAATAAGCCAAATAAAAATGCATATTTTGGCTACTTGATGCATATTTTGAAATATATTTGTGCATATTTGCTTCAAATCACTAATTTCCGATTAAAAATTTCAGTTCAAGTTAAAAATTGGATAGTTTAAGAAAAATGATCCGATTACAAAATATTTTAAAGAGAAAACAACCGCTAATTCGTAAGCCAAACTGCTGAGTATTTCCTTTTTAAATTCGTTTTATACTGGGAAAACATAAAGTATTGAACCAAGCGGTTTTTTTTAAAATCACTTGTTTCCAAAAAATAGTAATTAATATAAATTAAAGTAATATAAAAAATGATCTTATTTTAAGAAGAAAATTTTGTTTTGTTTTTGAGTTATTCCATTTTTGTTGTCTAAATTGTATGTAAAAAAATAATTTAATATAAAGTAGATAGTTGTAATCCCTTAGATTATGACCTTCATGAGAAAAATGTTTTTTTGGTGGGCTGCCATTTAAAAAAATAAATATTTTTGTAGAACTCAAAAACAAAATAATAAAAATTTCGAAAAATTTTGTTTTTGATAAAACATCACATTTTTATAGATCTTTATAATCAATTAGTTTTTTGAAACATAAATACTTTAAGCAAAAAAAAGTTGGTTCCATAGTTTTTATTCACCTGGTATAAAACGAATAAATCTTTCTATGCGAATAAGTAGTTGCCTGCAAATAAATTTTAGCAAAAGGATAAAAATTTATCCCAACTTTGATTTTTTATTGTTAAAAATTTTGCATATCGATGCATATTTGGCATATATTGGAGCATGTTTCTTAATATTTTGTGCATATTTTTGTGAAAATACGTGCACGAATTTTTCGTGCATATAATGCGAGCCTTATTCATAAGAATTGTTTTTTTTTTTTTAGTGAAAGAAATAAAAGTGATCTCAGTTTGATAGCACGTTTATTAAAAAAAGTTCGGTATAAAAGTACACAAAAGTAAGAAAACAAATTTCACAAAATGGTTGCACCAAAAAGGTAGACTGTTACGGGAATGACAAACTCTAAATCCTCTAGGAATGAATTTTTGACAATAAACAAAAAAAAACTATCTATGATAATATGACACAAACAATTAAATAATTGTAATTAAATATATTGCACTTTTGGCCTTACATGACCGTCAATTGGATAAGTTGTGAAAATCTTGTCCAATTTTAACAGCCAATTAACTTAATAATGACTAGGAAAAGCTATATCATTAGCCGATATATTAAAAAAAAACAACTAAAACTATTCTGTTATTTGTTAGTTAGGAATAAATAACTTAAAATATTAAAATGACTACGCATTTCGGTCAAACTTAGTTCGCCAAAATGCGCTCCAAGACTAGAGACACTCTCGTCTAGTACAACAAAGGGCACTTTGAACTTAAAAAGAAAAAAATTATCGGCTAATAGTATCGTCCTTATTTACAAAATTATTACAATCAGAAGCTGCCCAAGGGCACAACATACAATTCACAAGGCACGCATCCAATGGTCCCTTTCGGAATTTTTAAACAACTTTTAAACCGCGATTGCTAACCCATACTCTCTTCGAGTCTGCGCTGAAAAATCCATCGGTTGTTCCTGAAAAATCTGACTAATGCCAAATCTAGATGAAGTGTTCAAAATGACAGACGGATGTTTAATAGTCGAGCAAAGAAGTCGTTCCGGATTCGGAGAAATGACAGTCGAGCGGTACAAAAGCGGCCGTTCCGGACTTTTGATAACACTGTCGGCGATCCGGGGCCCGGAAACAATCACCGGAGTTGGCGAGAAGACTTTGTCTGGAGTGGCTTCGCGGGATGAGTGTCGACCATTGATGCGCATACAGGAGGACTCCTCATGCTTGTAGAGGTAGGACTTGAGGGCGAAGGCTTTGCCACAGCGGCCGCAAATGTGAGGCTTGGTGTTGGAGTGGGTCTGGATGTGGGCGCGCAGGTTGGACTTGTCGGCGAAGGCTTTGTTGCAGATGGTACATTTAAATGGTTTTTCGCCTGCAATTGCAAAAAAAGTTGCTTGATTTTTGAAGATTTCGAATCTAATTTACATACACATACACAAAGAACAAGCCAAAAATTGTACAAGAAATATAGAGAAGAAGAAAAAGCTTTCATATTTGGTGAAGTAAACAAATGTCAAACCGTAAGAAAAGAGAAGAAAAAGTAGAAAAAAAACAACAAAAAACTAGAAATACTAAAAAATGGAAGAAAGCAGAGGCACCATGCTCATGAGTCATGATAATAAGGAAAAAATGGCATAGAAAAATAAAACAAATATAAAAACAACATTTTTTGATTCATCTGAAACTAGAAAATCTGTAATTAAAACTGTATTTATAGCTCCTATCACATTGCCGGTTTAATTTTTTTTATTAATTAACTGAATAATGATGATTGTTGGTAAAATTGACTTTGTATTTTTTATCTCAGAGCTGTTTTTTTTTTGAATTGCCGTGTATTAAAATTATAGTTTTCACCCACATTTTTGTTATTTAATGTGCGTAAACTTATTTGTCAAAATGACATTATTGTTAAAAAAATAAAACCATCAATGTGATGGGATTTAAAACGCAGAGGAAAATAATTATAAGTCCATAATCAAGAGAAAAATGAACTTTTCTTTAAAATAATGAAATTTTAATTATAGATTTGCTCGTTTCAGATGAAACAAAATATGTTTTTCCTTTGCAGTTTTGACGTAAAATTAAAGATAAAAAATAATTTCTTCTTATAAACCCAATCCGGATGATTCACCTAAACGAATTCAAAGATAAAATGTTGAAATTTTTAATCAGGTACTGGGTGGGTTTAGGGTAAAAACTAAAAAGTACTCTAACTATTTTGGCTATAGTTTCTTGTCATTTTCAGCCAGAATTCTAAATTTCATAGTTTCTTATAAAAAAAAGTCTTTTGTGTTTTTCCGATACAACTTACCGATTTTGAATAAAATCAGTTTTCAAAATTTATGTTGCAGACCATAAACTGAATAAAAAAGCATAAAAATTAAATTCATTTTATTGTTTAGGACGCCCCTGCTTAAAAATTTCGACATTTCATCTCGGAACTCGTTTAGTTTTTAAAGATTTTATACAGGGTGTTCCGTTTTTATTGTTACAAATTTAAACAGATGATAGATGATAGTTTAGAGTAAAAAGTACCCTAACTATTTTGGCGGTTGCCACTTTCAGCCACAAAATTCTAAGTTTCATATACGTCTCTTGCGTTTTTTCGATACAACTTACCGTTTTTGAGTAAAATCAGTTTGCAATATGTTTTACAAACCATAAATAAGATAAAAATTAAAAATTAAATTTGTTTTACTGTTTAAGACGCCCGTGTTAAAAAATTTCGACAACTGATCTTTGAATTTGTTCAGGTGTTTAAAGGTTATCAGCTGTACCAACTTTTGTAATTTTATCTATTCTGCAATAGTGGAAAAACTCCATTAAAAAACGCACCTCTTTCAGGGGGTGTACCTCGCTTACATAACATTTTTTGATACATGTTCATAGAAAATTTTTGTTTTAAAAATGAATATTCTATCTCCTGTTTAAATTTGTAACAATAAAAACGGAACACCTTTACAGGGCCGTACCCCCCAAAATGCTGAGCACTTTGTTATATAGTGTTATAAGTGTTGAAAATGTAGTTTTTTGTTATTCTAGTGAGTTAATTTTAAATTTTTGTGAATTAATTTTTCATGTGTTAATTATACAGTGTTTCATTTTTATTCTTAGGTACAAATTTAAATAGTTGATAGAATATTTAATTTTAAGACAAAAGTGTTTCGAAAAATGCTATGAAAGGGAGCTACACCCCCTAAAAACGGTACGTTTTTTAAAGGGTTTTTCCTAATATTTCACAATAGATAAAATTACAAAATTTGGTACCTTTATATGTACAATTTTTATGCTGTTTATGGTCTGTAACATAAATTTTTAAATTTATTTTTACTAAATATCCGTAAATTGTATCGGAAAAACACAAAAGACCTTTATTTATGAAAAACTATGAAATTGTGTTGCTGAAAGTGACAAGAAACCACAGGCAAAATAGTTAGAGTAAATTTTTACCCTAATTCCATCTAGTTTAGGAAGCCCCTAATTAAAAATTTCAACATTTTATTTTTGTACTTGTTTAGGTGTATAAAAGTTATCATTTTTACCAAACTTTGATTTTTTTTCTAAAATGATTTCGGAAATATGGAAAAAAAACATTAGAAGACGCACCCCTTGCGTAGCATTTTTCGATATATGTTCATAGGAAATTGTTGTTTTAAAAATGAATATTCTATTAAATTTGTATTAAAAAATATGTTATTTTTTGTTACTTTTGTGAGTTAATTTGTATTTTTTATGTTTAATTAGGATCTCTTATTTCAATTTAAAATAAAAACGTGTACTTAGAGATTTTTGCTTTTTAATCCGCCTTCTTTCATTTTATTTTCATGGACCAACAAGAAACCTGGTTACGGCCCTGCACCTTTATATTCTGAAATATGCGAAAAAACACCTTTTTTTATAAGGTGTAACTCCCTTACATGTTTATAGGAAACTTTTGTCTTAAAATTGAATATTCTGTCTTCTACGTAAATTTATACCAATAAAACGAAACATGTATAGAACAATGAAAATAAGAAGAAAGAGATTAGGCATCGAAAGGTAAAACGAACCAAAGATCATAAAATAAATTAAGCTTAAAAATGAATGAAGAACAAAAAAGACGAAAAACCGAAGAAAAAACAGATATTGAATGAAGCGGAGCAATAGGTGAAAAAAGTTTAAAGAAGAAGTGGAATTTGTTATCATTTTTTATTATTATCGTATTTTCGATAAAAGCTTTGTTAAAGAAAAACTAAAAAAAAATGCGAGCTTGCCTGTATGGGTCCTGATGTGGCCTTGAAGCAGCCAAGGCCGCGAAAAACACTTGCCACAATACTGACATTTGCAGCCTTGATTGTGAGTTCTCACATGCATCGAAAATGCCGGCATGCTGACATAGAGTTTGTCACAATGGGGGCAACGTCTTGCCTTCTTATCCCCCGGACTTCTATGTGTTTGCCTATGCCGAGCTAAATTACTCGAAGTGCTGTATCTTTTGCCACAATCGTTGCATTCGTGGTCATTACTCTCGCCCAAAACCCCATCTTGAGTGCTACTATGAGGTATGTTAGCGGTGGAAGACGAAACAATTTTTCTATTGTATTCTTCAGTCTAGAACATGAGCATATTTTTCGTTTTGTTGTGGAAGAAGGATAACTCACCTTGGTTAGGTGTGGTCTGGGGGCCCGGGAAGACTTATCGAAGAGTTTATGGGTGTAGTTGAACACCGGTGGGTCGTTTGAAGGAAATCTGGTCTGTTCCAGAATCTGGCCGGTGGCTACGGCCACTTCGGCCAATTTGGTCAAATTGTACAACTCTTCGGGACATTCTGAGGGCTGCGATGAATCGCCCTCGTCGGCGATACTGACTGCATTTTCCGAGTTTAGTTCTAAATAAAAAAATATTACGTCAAATGACGCGTTTTATGCTGTAAACTTTAGTATTTAGGCCAGAAGTAAAGGCTCTATAATTTGGCAATGTTCCAAATCCGCAACAAGTAGCCGGCCCTCAATTATTATACGACTCTTTTGAGATTTTGGCCATGTGATCAATGTTAAAACAACGCCTTCAATTCGAAAATAAACGAATCTTGTATTTTTAAAGTGATGAATCATTGGCGCGGCAACTAGTTGAATAAACTGCGGAAAAGTATTACTTATTTTTGGATGGAAGTGTTTACTGAGAGTTTTCGAATGTTGAGCTTGTTTTTGATTTTTGAGTGGTAAATACAGTGTGTCACAACTCGCGCCTTAAAGAAAAATTTCAAGTAAGATAAAATACCATAAACATGAAAAAAATTTTGACATTATCTTGTATATGTTTTTTTATAATTATTTACTAAAGGTAGGTAAAATTTTACCAATAAAAGTCACAAATAACATTAAACAGAGTTACAGCTTCCCTGTTTCGTCTTCTTGTAACAAAAAAACTTGGAAAATTATTTTTCCAACAGAAACATAAATAGAGTCAAAATGTAAAATTTAAACTTTCATAACTTTGAAATTTTTATAGACAGAATATTTTTAACATTTTTTCCATGTTTCTAGTATCTTACCTTACATGGCATTTATTTCTGGGGCGCGAGTTCTGGGGCACCCTGTAGACAAATTTGCAGTTTCGATTTAAAAGTCAAGAAAAAAAATAAACAAGATTTCAAACTATAAAACTATAGATTTTTAAGACACAAGTTGAGTGTAAATAAGTTATATTTGAGGGTTTTATGTAGGTATGTATACAGAGTGTTCCGTTTTTATTGTTACAAATTTAAACAGGTGATAGGATATTCAGTTCTAAGACAAAAATTTCGAACATGTATCGAAAAATGCTTGGTAAGGGAGCTACACCACTTGAAAGGGGGTAATAGGTTTGTGCTAATATTTCAGAAACCATTTAAGATAAAATTACAAAATTTCGTATAGATGACAATCTTTATACACCTAAACAAATTCAAACATCAAATGTCGAAATTTCTAATCAGGGGCGTCCGAAACTGGTAGGGTTTAAGGTAAAAAAATACCCTATCTATTTTGGCTTTAGTTTCTTTAGTTATGCATTGACCAAAATGGTGGTCACTTTGAACAGCTCCTTTAGATTTAGGCAAATTTATTTAATTAATGTTATTATTGATACTGTAATGTAATGTTAATTAGTTGAGATTGATTAAAAAATATGAATTTCTTGCTTTTATTGTTCTGTAAATTCTGATTTATTTAAATGTTGTATTGGTGTGTAACATAATTTTTTTTTCACCTTAAACTCCCCCAGTTTCGTACGCCCCTGATTAATAATTTCGACATTTGATGTCTGAATTCGTTTATGTGTATAAAGGTTATCATCTGTACCAAATTTTGTAATTTTATCTTAAATGGTTTCTGAAATATTAGCAAAAACATATTAGCCTCCTTCCAGGGGGTGTAGCTCCCTTACCAAGCATTTTTCGATACATATTTATAGGAAACTTTTGTCTTAGAATTGAATTTCCTATCACCTGTTTAAATTTGTAACAATAAAAACGGAGCATCCCTGTATGTATAGATTTATGCAAATAGTATACAGAAAAAATAACAGAAAAATTACAATATTATTAATCGTAGACCTAAGAGCATGGACAAGCAGAGTTATAATTTAAAAATTTTTAACATTTTTTTCACATTTAATCTTTAAATAACAATAAATTTAAATAAATACTTCAGTTTTTCAAGTTTCTTCTCCGTTATACTTTTTTTCACCTAAATTTAAAATCTGTTTATTAGAAGTCATTTAAAGAAGAGTTTAAGTAACGGACACGAACCGCGTAGCGGCGAGTTGAAAAACAAACGATTCCTTAAATAGCCTTCTGTATGCATCACAATCTAAAAGTTAATTTTTAAGATTTCTTTATGTACGCCATCGGAAATTCGGAAAATTGGTAAGTTTATTCTTCAAACGGCATTGTAACCAACATTAAAAACATGAAATATACTAGACTAGTAGAAGCTATTAAAGGACCCAAACGAATTAATAAAAGTTAATAAAATAATCTTGTTATTAGGCAAACACTTGTAATGTTATTTCTCTATTTCCTAATCAAAAAATAAAGTAAATATTAAAATCAACAAATTTTTTGTGTACGCTCTTAAAATACAGGGTGCGCCAGAACTCGCGCCCCAGAGAAAATTCTATCTGTATAAAATGTTGACATTTATTTTTTGACATTTGACATTTTTTATGTCTATTTAATGATACTGATGATTTTGTATATGTTTTTTTACGATTATTTAATAAAAGTACTAAAATTTTGCCAATAAAAACCACAAATAACATTAAACAGAGTTACAATTTAGGATACAGCTGCCTTGTTTCCTCTTCTATTCCTCTTCCTATTCTAATAAAAATTATTTTTCCGACAGAAATAAATAAGAGTCAATGTGCAAAATTTAAACTCTCATAACATCGAAATTTTCATAGATCAAATTTTTTTAACATTTTTACTATGTTCCTGGTATCTTACCTTATCTGGGGCGCGAGTTCTGGCGCACCCTGAATAGCTACTGTACAGACTGAAAAACTAATGTTCAAAAAGCAACAAAAATTCAAAAGTTTTTTGATCTAAAACACTTTTCTTAAAAAAATAAAAAATAACATTTCTCAATAGAAACTTGTACCAAACATTTCAAAATAGAAAACAAATCGATATACTTTTTAGTAGTTTTCGCAGAACTTTAAACATAACAGAAAATACGGTTTGTAAATTCTGTTACTGTAAACAATGAAGTAATGCAGAGCGAAGCAAAAATAATTTTTGATTAGAAAAACACTCCGTATTTTAACAGGTTTTAAAGATCACACCTGTGCCAAACCTGACGATTAAAAGTACAACTTCAACTTGGCAAAATGACAACACTTAATTAGAAATTTGAGGCATACCACGAGGTTACTGAAGACATTTGGTTTTGTTTCAAACTTTCGCAAACACTGTGAGCAATTTCCGATCAAAATATTGTAATGTTGCAAAAAAATACCTTTTTGCTCCATCCCCTCCAAGTTGTACCGCCGATGTGTAATGAGGAAAGCTCGCGGCATGTTTTCTGTTCTTGAAATTAAAAAAGTTGCACTTGATTCTTCAATTGATTTGTGTTGACATGAAGCACACACACTAAACTCGATAAATAGTCGACAACTGACTTACTTCTTTAGTGCTTTGAGCTTTACTGAGTTTAAGAAACGCGTTAGCTGTTCTATATTTACAAATCTTGACGCGTGCCAAGTTTCAGGCAGGAGGGAGGCTGAACCCCTCATCTTTGTGCTTCCCATTGGCCCTCCCACACGCAGAGCTCAAGACTCTTCTGTTGTATTGTTTTTTAAGCGACCACCACTCGAAAGTGCCTTTTTGGCATAAAAAATGTCATTGAGATTCAATGACATTTTTTATGCCAAAAAGGCAAGATTTGTTGGGAATAAATGTTTCGTTTGGTGTATTTTTAAGTTAAAAATAAATCCATTACTCAAGTAAAATTAATTAATGTCTCATTATACAAGACTAGAAACACAGAAGGTTACGAGGGAAGTTAACGACTAATCAAAGAGCTAAAAATATTTTATTTCGGTAACTTAACGAATGAAGTTTTGATTCGAGTGAAGATTTAGACAAAACAGCGCAAAAACCATATGACATCAGTTCAAAGATCCCGGCGATTAACGTCAAAGAAAACCTGTTGAAAATATTTTGGCAAGTGATCAACATTTTTAACGCTTTAACTGAAGTTTTATGCGATTTAAAGAGACAATGCTAGAATAATCTCTTTCAAATTCAAGTCAACGTATGTCGTAAATTGTGAAAAAAGTTCAAACAAACATTGCGAACCCATTTCAATTTTACTCGTCTTGGAATTGCACAAACATCACCACTCCATAAAACGGTATTTATTTTTTCATATAATATTTTCAAATTTTTATTACAAACAGCCCAGTTAAGCTTCTCTTTTTTTTTCGAAAAACTTTAGTTTTTGTCCTCGAACCGCAGTAATTGCGCTGAATGGATGCCAGTGTCGTTACTCAAAGCGTCTAAATCCGTTGCAGGAATGCGTCGGGACGCTGGCGGCGTCTGTAGCGTCTTGGCCGCCAGCCACAACCACCTCTTGCTGCACCACTGACTCACCAGATTCACTTTGTCTAAAAGCCCTAATCGTCCATAAAGTTTTAATTTGGACAACAACTGCAAACAAGATGAGTTCGAAGGGCGGGCACGTGGTCCTTCAATCTGACATCCGGTTGATTCATAAATAAACCATTCCTGGTTCAAATCACCTGGGGTAACCCCTGGCTTCCCTTGTTACCCTCTTTGAACTTTCGCCCTTTTTAGGTGAAAAGCCAACTTTTAGACATATTTCTCTAATGGGGGCGTCTGGCCGATGTCTGGCCTGCTCTCTCGACATCCGACTTTACACCTGGGGTCGGAAATTTTAAATTCCTGAAGTGTGAACAAAATTTTTCAGATCATATTACCAACAGTGATTTCAAGACGATGGCATTCTGAAAGTATTTCTGGACGGTGCTGACCTAGGTTTGAAAATAAATGCAGAAAACCGCAGATTCCGCCCGTTTTTGTGCGAATAAAGATTTTTTCCTACGACCATATACGAAACTAGATCATAACGCACATATGCACGAAAATTGGCATTATCGTACGAGGTCGAAAACCTGTGCGATTTGTTTTCGCACTGTGTGTTAGAAATATAACGCACAATTCACACTCGAATGTTTTGTATTTTTTTATTTAACGTATTTTTTTTTGTATCCATTATAAAAAATAAATCGTTATTCAACGTATTTTTGTATCCATTATAAAAAATAAATCGTTATGAAAAAAAATATGTTCGTAAGAACGCTTGTGCGTTATTTATCACTTTCCGTGCTCGTTATGTAATATACTATTACCGATGTTTTAATTTTTTTTTAATTTAAATCATAAGCAAAGTAAGATTAAGACCCTTATTCTGTAACTCTGAACGATATCGTTAGTGAACGATTTTCGTTAGTAAATGAATTTTCGTATTCTGCAAATAAACTACTTTCGTTGAATTTGTTAGAATTTAATATAATTTCGTTAGAATTTGTCTTTGACGAACGAAAACTCAATAGGTTGTTGTTGAGTCAAAGAATTAATATTTTGATAACTGATTTGTGAGTTTTTATGAAATATGGGACTTTTTTTGTATTATTTTCTCGTAGAATTGCAAAGAAAGTAATTATTATTTTATTATTATATTATTACTGTTGTTGATTTTTCTATTAGGTATAAAAATTTAAAACATACTTTTACCTATTTTAGACAAATGTACAAGCAGTTAAAAAAAATTAAAAAAGGCTAGCAATACTTTTAATACGTTTTTGATGAATTATTTTGAAGCATGTTTAGATTTACCTACAGGAACTCTAGCACATGATTTTTTTCTTAAAATTCAAGTTTTTTGGAAAATAGACAACGTATAGCACTACACCTTTTTCAAGTGTAATTCAGAAACTATCACATGTAATTCAGATTAGTCAATTTAGTTTCAGAAAGCGTAAATTGAAATTTAGATTAGTCAATTGTCTTTCAGAAAATGTTAATTGTAATTCAAAAGAGCAAAATGAGTCTCAGAAACCATGAGATGTAATTCAGATTAGTTAATTTAATTTCAGAAAGCATAAATTGGAATTCAGATTAGTCAATTGTATTTCATAAAGTAATAATTAAGGCTCGGATTATATGCAAAATGCATATTTGTTATTAAGAGGTATATCAACAAAATTGTAAGTTTTCTATGCATATCTAATGTTTTTTTATTAAAATAAACTAAATAAAAAATGCGTATTTTGCATATTTTGGCAACTTGGTGCATATTTTAGGAAATATTGCATATTTGTGCATATTTTCTTCAAATCACTAATTTCCGATTAAAAATTTCAGTTCAAATTAAAAATTGGTCAGTTTAAGAAAAATAATCCGATTACAAAATATTTTAAAGAGAAAACAATCGGTAATTCCTAAGCCAAACTCAAAAAAATAGTACCCTGCTGAGTGTTTCCTTTTTAAATTCGTTTTATACTGGGTGAATACAAAGTATTTAACCAAGCGGTTTTTTTGAAATCATTTGTTACCAAAAAAATATAATTAGTATAAATTAAAGTAATATAAGAACAAAATTTTGTTTTGTTTTTGAATTTTTCTATTTTTGTTGTCTAAATTGCAAAATCATGACCTTCATGAGAAAAATGTTTTATTTTGGTGGGTTACCATATAAAAAAATAAATATTTTTGTAGAACTGAAAAACAAATTAATAAAAGTTTTGAAAAATTTTATTTTTGATAAAACATCACATCTCTATAGAACTTTATAATTCATCAATTAGTTTTTCCAAAAAATAAATATTTTAAGCAAAAACCGTGATTTGATCTGAAAAGTAGATGTTTTTTCTTACCTATTTTAGACAAATGTACGTACAAGCAGTTAATTTTTTTTTAAAGAGGCTAGCAATCCTTTTAATACGTTTGATGAATTATTTTGAAGAATTTTTAGATTTACCTACAAGAACTCTAGCACATGATTTTTTTTCTTAAAATTTAAGAAAAATAGACAACGTATAGCACCCATAGTCCAAGTAAAGAAAAATCGGCTTAAGAGAAAAGTTGATGGAGTGGGTGGTTGAAACTCATCTTCTTGTTAAATAAAAATATGTTTTTCATAATACATATTTTTTTAAAAATAGCTTTAATTTCTTTCCACCCAGCTATGTCTTTTACAGAACCACCACAATTTATTTAAATTTATCATTAATTTTTTTAGAGCAATGGGTTTCTCCGCTACAAATTATTTTTTTTTGAAACTGGTAGTTGTTCTTCAACAAATTCTAATGAAGCTCAAATTGTTGAATCGTTGTTTTACATTTTTTCTTCTTTTTGTCGATGCAAGCCCTTTTTAAACTTTAATAAACTTACAGTGACATTAATGACGTTTTTGAATAAACAAGTTTTTGGAAGATTTGAAATGTCACGTTTTTCAAAAGTTCAATCTACAAAAATGCTGATAAATAAGACTCAGATTACATGCACGAGAAATTTGTAAAATATGCGCATATATATGCACGTATTTTCACAAAAATATGCACAAAATATTAAGAAATATGCTCTAATATATGCCAAATATGCATCAATATGTAAAAATTTTAACAATAAAAAATCAAAGTTGGGATAAATTTTTATCCTCGAATACACTAAACTTTGTTTTTTTTTTTGTATTTCTAAGAAATCTGTACTTTTCAGATCACAGCTTAAAGTATTTATTTTTGAAAAAACTAATTGATGAATTATAAAGTTCTACCGAAATGTGATGATTTATCAAAAATAAAATTTTTCAAAATTTTTATTATTTTGTTTTTGAGTTCTACGAAAATATTTATTTTTTTTTGAATGGCAACCCACCAAAAAAACATTTTTCTCATGAAGGTCATAATCTAAGGGATTACAACTATCTACGTTATATTAAATTATTTTTTTACATACAATTTAGACAACAAAAATGGAATAACTCAAAAACAAAACAAAATTTTGTTCTTAAAATAAGATCATTTTTTTATATTACTTTAATTTAATTAATTACTATTTTTTGGACACAATTGATTAAAAAAAAACCGCTTGGTTCAATACTTTATGTTTACCCAGTATAAAACGAATTTAAAAAGGAAATACTCAGCAGTTTGGCTTACGAATTAGCGGTTGTTTTCTCTTTAAAATATTTTGTAATCGGATCATTTTTCTTAAACTATCCAATTTTCAACTTGACCTGAAATTTTTAATTGGAAATTAGTGATTTGACGAAAATATGCACAAATATGCAATATTTCCTAAAATATGCACCAAGTTGCCAAAATATGCAAAATATGCATTTTTATTTAGCTTATTTTAATTAAANNNCTGAAATAAAGCAATTTGTGATACTTTGAATCGATTTGGCCCAATTTTAAGTTGGGAATCAAGCTAAATCAAAGTATTTCAACCAAATACTGGCTTTAATAAAAGTTTTCTTCTAAAATTAATGAACAAAAACACGATTAGCCCGTCACACCAAACTTTTATTTTAATAGCACAACGCGTTTCGACCACAAAGTGGTCATCCTCAGGTGAGAATAAAACTCAGTTTTATTCTCACCTGAGGATGACCACTTTGTGGTCGTGTTTTTGTTCAACATTAGATATGCATAGAAAACTTACAATTTTGTTGATATACCTCTTAATAACAAATGTGCTTTTTGCAT